TGCCCAGTGCCATCTCAGGATCGCATGCTGCTAGTACAATGGCAGGGAGCTATTTTGTTCAGGTAAACAAGGACATTTAAGGAGCTTCGCTGTCATGACCAGCTGGTTTGTGGATGGCTGGGGGAGGGATGACTCGATTCCTGGGGCTGCTCTTTGTTGTCCTTTTGTCTTTCTCCCCTTAAATTTTTCCTTCTCCTTGTGTTGCTCCTGGAGCTGCCAAAGGTTGAGGAAGCACCACAGTGACCACCCTGCAGTGGAAGAAATGTCTTGCTTTTGGTTCAGCCCAAAGACTTGGGGCTCTGGCAGTGTGTGCTCCCTGCTCTCGAGGCTCAGAGGACCATATGTTCCTGCAGTGAACTGCAAAGCCCGTGATTTGGAAGCGAATCTTGAATTTATAACCCTTAACCGCCACTTTCAGCCGATTCTTTTCAACTACTGTAAATTAAGTGAGTTTTGAAATCAAACCCTCTTCACAGACGAGACCCCAGCAGCCAGTAACGTGATCTCCCCTGACGTTCGGACTCGGCCCTTTGCAGATCTGTCTGTCCCTCCTCCCCTCCGGTGCCTGTTTGAACTCCTTGGTCTGTTCTGCAGCGTAGGAAATGTCTGGCTCTGTTGCCTGGTGGTGTTGATCCTAGAGGGGGGCAGCGATGGAGGACAGGCGCTGCCCAGCAGGGTGCGGGGTTATTGGTAAAGCAGCTGGAGAGAAGCTCGTTCACTCTCTGAGCTAATTGGAATGTGTTTTTCAAAATAAAAGGGAAAAAAAAAAAGAAAAGAAAACCAACACAAAAACATCACTGGGGGAAAAAAATACAGAGCAAGCTCTTAAAAAATATTCTGGGATCCAAAATACCAACTTGTGGTATTTCCCCTGATCCCAGGTAACTGCAATTCCCCGAGGAGGGGGAAGCCTGGTGGAAGTGGTGGAAAAAGGGAGAGGTGGTGAGGGTTAAGAAGATCTGACGTGTGAGCGTCTTCCCTGCAACGCTGCCATACTGTGTCGGAGCAGCACAGTGCCTCTTGTAAAAGAAGCTTTGCACAAATTGTCCTTGTTCCAAGGATGAGGAAACCTCCAGGTCTTCTGGCATTTTCTGTCCAGCATAACTTGGAGCTGCTTTCACCTGGAAAGCATGATAAACACAGACGGGGAGAGGACTGGAACAGAGAGAGACTGGGAGCAACCTTGCAGTGCTTTTAATGGAGCTCTTGGTGTTAAATGAAGAACTTTTCCCCTCCTCCTCTCCTCATTTTCCTGTGTGCCTGCAAAAATACTCTGGTTTGCATTTAAAGGAGAAAACTGTATGTGCTGGGACTAAGCCAACTTGTTTATTCAAGGGAAATACCATCTTTCCAAGGCTTTCTTTCTCAGAGGAAGGCTTGACAGAGGATGGCAGACCGGGCTGAACATTGTATTTTTAGGTGACATCGAAGCACAGTTGTGATTTGAAGAAGCTGAAATCATGGCTGGCATTCTGCACTGAGCTCGACGAGACCTGTGCTCTCCTCACCCCAGAGAGGGGTTAACTGCTTCCTCCTAGACTGTGTGCTCCGAGCAGGTGGATTTTGACCTAAAACAAGGGGAGAAACAGCAACAACAAAAACAACAGTAAACTGCAACTTTCCACACTTTGCAATTTCCCTTCTCCAAATTGGATTTTTATTGCAAGGCAGGAGCTCGCCCCTGGCCCGGCGGTGGTGAGGAGCAGGGCTGTGAGCAGCCGTGGTTGCAAGCACCAGCTCCTCTCCTACTGTCAAAAAATGGCAGGTCAGTGTGCGTCTGTAAACAATGCAGTTATGAAATGGCAGCGCCAGGCCGAGCTGAGCATGCTCGGGAGCTGCCTGCAGGGGGAGGTGAGCCGAGAAAGATGATCTAATTCAGTGCAATTCTTGGGATTGAAGGAAAAGACCAGGCTCCACTCTTAATGACAGAGCAGAAAAAAAGCCCCACGAAGGACGAAGCCCGTAGGCCATGGAGGCAAGGTGGTGAGGAGCTGCCACCTCTAGGACTTCGGGTGCTGGGCAGCGCTGCGTGCCTTTCTCACCCTCCAGGAGAGTAAAGTCTTGGTGAGGTTTTGCTGTAGCTATTAGAGGGACAGGCCCGAGGGTGCAACTTTTGTCTTGTTTTTTGCCTTGTTTTCCTCTCCCTGTCTGCTTTCCCGGCTCGCAGGCGTCGCTGTGGTTGCAGGTGGCACAGAAGAGGAGGTGTGCGCGGGGCAACGTCCTCCATGGCCCAAGGAACACCCAGGCTGGGGCCACCTCCCTGGGCCCAGGCCTGAGAAGGCCTCCCTTCTGGTGTTGCTGGGCTGGGTAGGGGTGAGGGAGCTGCTCCGTTGGCTGCGGTGGTTTGGGGGAGGGAGGAAGAGGACGGCTGAGGCCAAAGAGGTGCCTGGGTGTTGTCGATGGGGACGAGGCTGCAAACTGTTCTCTCCAGGCTCTTCTTGGTGCTGTGTTTTCATCCTTGCTGAGCCTTCCTGGGGACCTAGTGTTTCTGAAGTGTCTGGTTTGCTTTTGCTAGAGAAGATTAAGATCCTTCATCTCTGTTTTTAGGTTCTCTGCCCCCGCCCCTCCCCCTTGTGATAGGAGAAGGTGGGCAGCAGCTGTACTTCTTGCTAACCTTAGCCAGTGGAAGGAGATGCCTTTGTCTGCTTTGGATTTCCATTTGTCTTCACATACAAGTTGTAGTGGTTTTCACTCTACTGGGTCACAGTTAGATGGATGCAATGCTTCCCAGCGTGGAAGCAGCAAGACAGCATAGCTGCATCTGCACCAAGGCTGCCCTGTTCACTGGGTTCACCCCTACAGGAGCCTAGGCTCCACAAACCCCCCTTGCCTGGAGCCTGGGCACCATTATGGACTGCCCTGTGCTATGAGAACCCACTTTTAAGTCTTGTTGTGTTTCATGTGTGTGTCTCCTTGTTCCCAGCTGTTGCATGCAAGGACTTGTGCCTTGTTTCTACCCTTCCCCCATTTTTTGGGAGTTGATCTGTGTGGCTGGAATTGGAGGGAGTCATGGAGGCAGAGAAGAAAACGTTTCTGTTCTTCTAGGATAGGAGGAATTCAGGAGACAAAAGAATTGCAGGTCTAGTTTGATTTGGGGACAGACTTCAGGCTGAGAGGAGTGCTTGTTGTGAGCTGCAGATAAAATTCCATGTCCACATGATTGCACGAGGCTTATAAGGAAGTGGCCTTAACCTAGAAAAGGAGCTTTGAGACTGGTGGCTGCTTTGTAGGCCAGGTACACGGGTGTTACATTTCCTTTCTTCTCCAAATCAAATGCTTCTCGTGGCAGGCCCAGGGCCAGTGTCCCCGTGACTGGTGATCCCAGACCTGCCCATGCTCAGCAGGACCAGAGCAGAGCCGAAATCTGAAATCAGCGCTCTTCTCCTGCTGATAAAACAAACACCGTCTCTCTACAGGCGTTTTCTTAATCATTGCTTCCTATGTAATTAGCTACAAAAAGTTTGCCTTCTTTTAAGGCAAAGGTTATGAGCAGGTTGGGTTTGTTGGGTTTTATTAGCAGGAAAAAATGAGAGTGAATGGAAATCCGCTGCTGCTGGAGTTGCATCACTTATCGAGTGCTTTGCCTCCCTTTCTTGCTGCAGCACACACTGCTGCCTCGCATGGGGTCAGACCCAGCTGTGGGGCTGTGCTGGTGGTGTCACCTTTGGGGGCCCAGTGTCCCCTGGGTGCCTCCTGTTGGGGGCTTCTGGGCCCCAGGGTCACTGCTGTCCCCTGTGCCTGGTGTGCATGTGCTGGGGAGCGTTGGTGCAGCTGCTGCTGGTAGCGCAGCAGTTCTGTGTTGGAGAGGGGTTGGTCATTCTGCTTCCAGCCCTCCTTCAGATTGACCTGCTTTAACACACGTCTCAAATCAGAGCAGCGTTGCTGCAAAGCTTGGGTTGATTTTTAAGAAAACAAGGAGGGGAAGAAAAAAAAAAAAGACTCTTGTGGAGGTAGTCATCTTAGCACATCAACCTCCGCTCCTTCCTGGTCTACTGCTAGAGAGCTCTGGTTCATGATGCAACTAACTGCTCTCTTGGGCTTGGTAAGCTACAATATGTTGGAGTTGTGCTGTGCATGTATTGTCTTTGCCTGTAAAACCTGCTTGGACTTTTGCAAAGGGCTGATGAAAATGCCAAGGAGGAGACTGAGGAAGCTCTCTGCGCTTCCCAGCTTTGCTCTTTTTGTTGTTGTTTTTTGTTTTAAAGGCACCATGCAGTTTCTGGTTGCCTGCTTGGAAATGCTGCAGAGCGTTTCCTCGGCTCTGCCCTGTCTTCCGTCCTCTCCAAAGACGTGGTGGAGGAAGGGAAGCCTTATTTCTTGTTAATCAGAGGCGCAGAGGAAAGACTAAAGCCAGCCCTTGCTTGGATCTTCTTGGCTTCTAAAGCCCTTTCAGACACCTTTCTTAAGACGCAGCCATTTTTCTTTCCCTCGAAATCTAAAAATAAAAGGAGCCGGTGGGGGGAATCAACGCCCCGTCGCTCGTGGCACGCAGCCTCGGTGGAGGCTCTCCAGTGGCTGGAGGTTAATAATCCATCTGGGGTCGGGGAATGGAGGCGGCCGTCTGCGGGGAAGGGGGAAAAAAATAAAAGAGGAGAGCGTGAGACTTTTATTGTGAAGCAGCCTGAGCTTGGCAGTTGGCTTTTGTTGGGACTGCTGCAAGAGCCGACACTTCTGGCGGGGAGGGTGGGTATAGGATTTCCCTGCCAATCAGGAGCCGACGGATTGGGCCATGGGGTGTGAGCGAAGGGGAAGTTTGCTCTGAATTTAAGGGGGGAAAAGCAAGGCACACAAATATGGAGGTATTGACACTCGCAGCCAAGTTGCTGCTGGCTCGGCTGGGTGGAGCCGTGGGCCGGTGGGAATGGCTGGGCTGTGGGTGGTGGGCACCCAGGGTGCTGCCTGCTGCCCGTCCTGCTGCCAACACCCTGCTGTGGTGATGGAGCGCGGGTGAGGAGTGCTGTCCTTGGGGACGAGGCTTCGAGGGCTGTGCGGTGCTTTCCTGGAGCCTCCTTTGGATCAGAAGGCTTCCAAAGTCACAGTTGTCTTTTTCATTATTGTTACTTGATTCTTTCCCTCCCAGCAGGTCTGAAGGTGCGTTAGCGTTGTGGATGGCGATGCTGGCTGTTTGTTTGCTCCAGAGCAATGCCCGGAGGCCATCGAGCTGCTGCTAGTGAGGCCGCTTGGCTGGGGCTGCAGAACCCATTGGAACCACCTCAGTGGCTTTGAGCTGGCACTGAGCTTTCCTTCTCCAGCGTGGAGCAGCGACGGTTCCTCTCTTGGTGCTGCTTTGAGAGCTCCCAGCGCTGTCCGGGATGTGGGGCAGCTCTGGGCTCCTGTTAGTTGCAGAGAAGAGGGAGTGTGTTCTTTAGCTGCCGAGGGCTGGCTGACGCTGGGGCTCCTGCAGTGGCTTTTCTTTAGGCCTCGTGGTCTGAGCAGCAGCAATGTCCCCATGAAAGGGAGGGCGTGAATAATTGGTGGAGTGGGGGAGCTGCTTGGAAAATAAAGGATGGGAGGGATGGAAATGGCCTGCTGGAAATGCTGAGGCTTTCAGGAGGAGTCAGTTGAACAGCAGGAATATCACGACCTCTATTTATTGTAACAAAGCTTGGGAAAACCAGCAGGTCTGTGTGAGATGAGCAGGGGCTCACTGCACAGGCCGGGCCCAGGGCAACTCCCTGTTTACCCTTGCACCAGGATGAGTTGTTGGGCAGGTGAAGTTATCCCCATTTTACAGCAAGTCTGGGTGGAGGAGAGATAGGATTTACTCGTAGATGTTTTCATTGAAGATGCATGTTGTGGCTTAGCAGGGAAAAGCTGATCTGTGTTCCTGTTCGAAGCTGTGTTCCTGTGGTTCCTTGATGGGAGCTCTTGGAAGCACGCGTTGCTCAGGCTGGCTGGGCCTTTGGCTCCCAGCAGTAGCACCAAGGTCTGCCTGGGTGGCTTCAAGCAGAGAATGGTTGGGGAAGGGTGAGCAGAAGCGCCTTGTTTGCCTGGTAAAGCCTTTGAAGCTGATGTTTCAGCCTTCGTATGCGTTCGTTATGTCTTGCTTGCTTTATGGGAGACGAGCAGGCCTTCTGTTCCTTTTTTTAACCACTCATTGTGCTTTAAACCTTTTGATTTTCGTGGCTGTGGGCTTCATCTACTTCCTACAGCACTTGGTTTGACCTGGGCTCGTGATACTGGGGCTCCCCTGGTGCCCTGCAGCTCCATGGCGGGTACCGTGCTTGTCTTTTAGTTTGGGAGCAGAGAGCTGTAGCAAAAGACTCTTCTCATCTGTGTGCTTGGTTGTGGGTTTTATAAGACTTTTCTCCTTCGTTTTGGTAGTTGTTTGTTTTTTCATTTTAATTTAAATGTAGCTGCCCCCCGCAATCCGCAGCGGTGGTGTGAAGGCTGCAGACCCGATCGAGCAATGTGATGCCAGGCACGTGAAAGGCAGGGGGAAGAGCAGGTGTTCCCTTTCTGCAGGAAAGTAAAAGAGGAAGAAAAGAAAAATTACTTTCCATAAAATTAAGAGATGAGCTCACTGGCCCTAGTGAACGTGGAAGGTAGGGGCGATGAGTTCGGTGAAGCTCACTGATGGTTGTGTTTTATAAACTGCATTTAAACAGACCACAAAAAGCAGAAATACCAAAGCGAACTTCGGCCTGCTTGTGCAGATAAATGATGTGCAGCGAGAAATGGGCTCAGCCCACCTCCTCCTACCCACAACAAAGCAGTCTGGGGCTGCGAGGGTCGTTTCCTTGGGGTGCCCTCCGTGCCCCTTTCAGCCTGCAGCAGCCTCGGTTGGGTTCCTCAGCTCTTTGCATTCGGAGCTGCATGGCTGCACCCAGTTGCAGTGCCTGCCTCGGCCCCAAGCGCAGGTTCCAGCCCTGGGGCCTTTATCTCTGACCTGTGCCTTGGCAGTTTCCTGCCAGCGGTATTTTGCAGAGAGGTTGGCCTGTGATGTAAACAGGATACATCCACGATTGTCTCTCTCTTTTTTTTTTTAATGCAATGTGTGTATGAACGTGGAGCTAAAACTCGGTATTTCTTTTTCCCTCCATCAGCAAACAGTGCTGAGTAAGGGAGAGACAAGGAAAGACGCCTGCATGAAGACTGAACTGCTGAAAGATATCACCAACAACAAGGAGGAAGGTGAGCACCTGCCTTGGTGGAGGGCCAGAGCTCAGCCTGGCTCATGGGGTTGGCTTGTGGCAAGCTGGGAGCGAGGTGAGGGCTGAGAGATGTGCTCTGTGCCCAAGGGCTCAGCTGTGCTCTCACAAAAGGAGCAGCTCCGTTCTCCTCCTGTGTTCTGCTGAGCAGGGCTTTTCCCCAGAAGATGCAAATTTGCTCTACAGTCCATCCATCTCCACCCACCTGAATTATAGATGGTTTTCACTTCTGCTTTCGTGTGGCTGTGAGACACAAAGGAGGCTCGAGTTACTTTGAACTTCTTCTGTGTGACTGCTTTTAGTCAAACTCTGATCCACACAGTGACCTGGCCTTTTTCCTCCCTATTAAAGTTAACTTTCTGTTTTCCTCTGAGTCTCACTGTTGCTCCAGAGCAGGCAGCGATCACTGCTGGCTGGGTGAGACACCTCGTGCCATTGGTGCCATTGAGGGTTGCTTCCTGGCTTCTGCCTTGTCTCTGCTTTCTTTTACTTTGCAGGCTGTAGTGCACATGTTAGTGGGATGAAATCTTTCTTCTGCGCTTGTCTGTGAGTTGCACACACACAGATCTGAGAGCTTAATAGATGTCGGTGGGATTAGGAGGGAAAAAAGAAACAATACAGCCCCTAATCTTTTTTTTTTCCCCCACTTTCTTTTCATGGCTTCATTATTCCTTGACTAGCTGCTTCTCATTGATCTGCCAGGATCTGGGGAATTTTTGTTCTCTTCTCCATAATAGAACATCAGAAGAGCACTGAACTGACCCCACCAAAATACTCTGTTCTTGCTAGAAACAAAATTTTGGATTTAATTTGAACCTGTGTGAGTACAGCATCGCCTTTGAGTTCTCTTCTGCCCAGTGTAATGGTTTGTTCTGTTTGGAAAGGACAAGCAAAATATTGAGTGCTGTGTCAGATGTGACCACGGTGCTTGCATATTAACTGGCAGCACATGAGTGTTGCTGCTGACGTCAGTTCCACGTGGACCTCTGATCCAGGAAGACCAGAAATGGAGTCTGAGATGTGGGTGTGAGGTTGCATTCCTCTGGGAAGAGACTTGAGCTTTGATCCCTTGCCTTGCTTGGCTCAGGAGTATTACGCTAGTGTATTTAGCTCCAGGTTGGACCCAAGTGGCAAATGTCTGCAGAGGTGAAAAGAGAGGATGAGGTCTGGAAAAGAGAAACCTCTGTGCCTTGCAAGTCTTGACTCATTCTGACTAAAAGGAAATGCTGTGTCTGAAAAGGAAGCTGGGAACCCTCCCTGTGCAGGAGCAGTCCGGAGGGTTGACAAGGTGCTCGAATTTCAACCACTTCAGCTTACTGTACTGTTCTGTTACTGGGGAAAAAGGATCTTAACGTCTGAACTGCATAGCTTCCATACTTGTGGTGAGACTCAGACTGTATTCTCTTTCTTCTCAAACGTACAATTTATGTAAAAGACAGTGGTTTGCTTGGTCATCGTGCTACATGCATTGTTCTTAGCTGACCTTCATTAACCATCTGTGGCCATCATAGCAGTTCAATGAGTCAGCGGCCCTAAATTCTGTTAATAACAATGTTCTGAGTTAGCATGGGAATTTGCATTTTTGAGCGTGGAGCGAACATGAAATCATTCCAGCAGACTCACAGGATGGCACGGAATGGTTTCTTTGAGCCTGTTTTTCCTAACCAAGGGATGGGAGGTGATGTGTGCATATGGGGTGCACAGCCTGGTGCAGCTCCCTGCTGTGTGGGACGTGGCTCTTGGTGTTTGCTCTCTGCTGTAGAGGAAGAGGCCTGGAGTGGGAACCCACAGAAGGCTGCTGGGGCTTCTAGGTCCTGGTTTAGGCTGAGCTGCTGTGAAGCAAACTGATTGGTAGGAGTTCTTGTCTGTAACACAAACCTAGATCTGTCCTGGGTTGTGATCCCTTTGGGGAAACGCCCTTGGAGACTTGCAGAGGTTGGAACTTAAAGATCCAAAGGAAATTCAGGTAGCTTGCAACGTTGAAATGAGATTTAGTGGCCTGTCCCTCAAGCAAGGCACTGCTTCTAGTTTCATGCTGGTACCAATGGAGGGAAGTGATTGAACTAAGTTTAACATGCATCTGTAGGAGTGAGACCTTCAGGTGTTCCTGATGCTTTCATTTCTGATTCTGGGATTAATTCTCAGCTCACTGTAAGCTGCTTCTTCGGCTTTGTGTCTCCTGTTATCCATGGGGAAACATTCCAGTTCAGTTTTTCATTAGGTAGTTTAGGTCCCTCTTTGCCTTTGACAAGGAAGGAAGAGGGGTGGGGAGATGGAAGTGCTGAGCAGAAGTGTTTTATTAGGCTGAGTTGTACTTAGCCTGACTCAGAAGTTAGTCAGAAGGGGTTTCTTGCAAGAATTGCCAGAAATTTCAGTTCTCCTCCTCCTGCCCATAGCTCCCAGCTGTGTGCTTCATCTGACACGACCTTCCAGTGCAAACTGCTCCTGTTGTTGCTCCTACCCTGGAGGTGGGAAGCTGCACTCATCCACAGTGAAGAGTGAAGTTCCCCATTAGGCTCAGCCTCCCGAAGACTTTACCCAAGCTGCTTTACAGGAGGTGTGTGAGGTGTGCGCAGTCACTTTGCTTGCAGATAACCTTAAAGCTGCTTCTAGAGAGTGTTAGGGTTTTAATTTCCTGGAAGGGCTTTTTCTTTTTTTTTACTTTTTTTCCTCCTTCTGCCTCTTATTGCAGATAGAAAGCTGCTGTGGGTGAGGAGCGTGCAGCCTTCCACTGAGCAGCTGCAACCTTTGCATTCCCAGGTGTAGGGAGAGGTGCTTTAAAAGGAGAAAAAGAATAATCTCCCTGCCTTGACTTGCTCAGCACTGGGACTCCCTGCTGAGCCCGGCAGCCAGGAGGCCAGGTGGAACAAAGGATGCTCACACACTGCAGGTGGTCGCTCCCCCCTGACAGCCCACCAGGTGCTGGCTGTGTTCAGGGACTCCATCCCATGGCAAAAGGACAATTGATTTCATGCGGGGCATTAAACACCTCGCAGTCATCACTGGTATTTGTAGGCAAGAGGCTGAGTCCCATTTACCAACCTTTAAGCTCAGTGTGGGACATTAACAGCAAATGTACTTTTTTTTTGTATGTGTTTTTCCCTGTGTTGGCTGTGGCCGTGTCCTACAGGAGATGTGGGGCAGGCTCCCACTGCGGACTCAGGGCAGTAGGAGGGTGGCACTTGCATTATGGAAATACAGAACTGAGCTCACTTGGTCATCATCTGCCTACACCAATGTAAAAGGGACGAAAAATAGTAAAGCCCATCAGTAATTCATCCCAGAGAGGAACTTTGGCCCGAAACTTACAATTCTCTTCATTTCTTGGCTTCATAGTGCTCAGCTTTTTGGCTTGAATGACAGAGGTGGAGCTTTCCTTTCAGATGGAGGATGGGATCCCAATCTCCCATTCCTTACTGGTCTGAACTCTCATCTCTTCAGCAGTGTTTTTATTGCTTTTCTCTGCTTCATGATTTTCTTTGATTTAAAGAAAGAAGAGATTGGAGGAACCTCAAGGCAAGGATTTCAACAGATGCACTCCTTGCTGTTTCCAGCAGGTCAGTTGGATATTGAACAAATGTCTGTGCTATCTGTGGCAGTTTAAGGATGGTCAGCAAGCACTTAAAGATAAAAGCCTGTGAAATGTCTATATGTATAAACCTGAACGCTGGCAGCACTCACCTGTAGTGCAGTTCAGAATCAGGAGCTGTGCTGGGCTCAGCGTGGCACTGCTGCAGCCTCAGCCCTGCGCCCTGCATGAGGAGCACACCGATGGAAGGACCCTGTGGGACATCAGCAGCCTCCAGCAGTGCTGAGGTGGCCAGGAAAACATGTCGGAGTTCCAGATCAGATAATCAAGCACTCACTTGAAGGACCTTTATTCTTGGTTGTTTTTTTTAGCAGTGATCGCGTTTTGGCCTGGAGCAACGCTCCTAACGCTTGCGTGTTTTTCTTATTTTGTCACATTGAACGGAGAGATCTGGGTTTAACAAAATATACTGAAGACTTTTGTTTTTTTTGGAGGATTCTCTCAGCACTACCGAGCCTTGGGCCAAACCCCTGTCTGCCTGCAGGTGGAAAGCTGGTGGGTCCCAACAGCAACGTGCTGTTGGAGCATCGGTCGCACTGTGCTCAAGGTCAGCTCCTCCCCTCCTTTCTCAATCTTCCATTCTCCGCATCACAGTTTTAATTTAATTTTGAGTAACTGTGTTTGACATTGAGAAGGAAGCCTAAGACTGAAGCTGCTGCAGAGGGTCCTTGTGAGCGCTTGGAGAGGTGGAAGGCTGCGAACTCTTTGTTGCTCACAGTGAGCCCTTAATGCAGAGCACTGGTTTAGGTACATTGCTGATTGTTCTTTGCTTGTGGAATTGCAGGGCTAGTATCCAGCTCCTAGAAGATACACGCTGAAGATTGTTTCAACTTGGTAGCAGCTTCAGTTTCCTTGCTATGTGAATGAGCAGCAGGACAGGTTGGCCTGTGGTTGTGTTGCACTCGTAGAATCACAGAATGGTTGGGTTGGATGGGACCCTAAAGGTAGTCAAGATCCACCCCCTGCCATGGGCTGCCCCGCAGCTCAGGCTGCCCAGCACCCATCCATGGGCACAGGGACCTCCAGGGATGGCACCCGCAGCTCTGGGCAACAGTTCCAGGGCCTCACCATCTCTGAGTAAGGAATTTCCTGTTGCTGCTTTACAATTAGTTGTGTGTGCTTGGATCGGGTTGCAGGCAGCATTGTGAACAATGTGACAGGCTTCTCCTGCTGTATGTAACATAGAGGATGCATAAGACAATGCTGGAGATGCCAGGATGCTTCTAGTAATTGAGGTTACGCACCCGTAGAAATAGGCTGTATATTTTTATCTTGTAGTTTTTTTGAGTTAAAGGACAAAGAGGGAGAGAAATGAATACAGACAAAGCGTGGTTTTGGTCTGTTTAGAAGGAATGAATGTTGCAAAGTTTCAGAGAAATAATCAGTTTTGGGTTTTTATTCCCTGGTGAGCAGAAAAGCCTCCTGTTGAGCTGGGCTTTCAGGAGGAACTTGCTGACTGACCCATGGAACTCACTGTCACGAGGCCTATTGTTAGTCAAGATTTCAACAGGTTCGCAATACAAAAACTTTTTTTGGAAAGTAAAGAGAAGGTGAAATGTAAGGAACCAGCATTTCTTTAGCTGGTGCTGTTGAGGAGCTCCTGCAGGCTTTTATTGAGCATTTACCCACTGCGAGGCTCCCGCTCTCTCTGGATCATGTTCCCATCGCTTTCTACAGGACCCTGTTCAGCAAAAAAGCAAACATATGTTGAATTACATCTGTTTCAACCTCATGGATCGTTCATAAAGTGTGATGCTTTCGGGGCCAACGCAGTCATACCTTCCCCTTAGGGCAGTGCTCTCATTTACCTTGGTTTGGTCGCCTTCCTGGCAGGCGGGGCAATTCTTGCTCCCAGTTGATTTGGTTTATCCAGTATTCAGCCACGGGAGCTGTTTGCTGTGCTGGTGGACGTGCGCAGCACTGCAGTCAACAAATACAGTAGGCTTCACCCTGCCAGGTGCCTGCTGCTGAGCGCTGAGAGCCTGCAGCTGCGGCCTACCCACCTTTGCTTTCCTTCTGGTGCTGAGTTTGCTGAAAGAACCCTTTAAATGGCACTTCTAAGGACACTTGGTGAAGAATGAGAGAAATAAAGGTTGAAAAAGCACAGTGCGCAGCGCTTTGCTCCCCCTGCCCAAGGTGTCTCACCTAGTAGCAATTGTATGTTTGCCCTGTCATGAGTCCTCTCAACCCCAATCAACCCACGTGCACCTTGTCAGAGCTTTCAGCACACAGAAAGTGGTCTGGGAAGCAGCACGGGGGATGCTGGCTTTGAGTGGTGTTTGGGGAGCTCTGATGCTTCTGCCTGCGTGGTGCCCCTGCCCCCCCAGCTCTGCCTGGCAGCACCCAGGGGAGGTGGGCATTGGGCCTGGAGCTTTGCAGAAGGTTTTCACCAGTTCAGCAGAGGTCTGCAGGACATCAGTCTCCATGAGCAGTGTGAAGCAAGGTGCTGATACCAGCACGCTGCTCTGGCTTGCACAGCTGTTTTCTGCTTTGAATTCTGGGCTCTACTGTAGGCTAAAATAACTTCAGTTGGCTGTAAATCAGTCCTACCTGCTCCTCCAGTCTGCTTGGACAGAGCTTTCGATGGTACTTATGATGCTTTTCATAACTGTCTGGCCTCTGGAAGGAAAACAATACACAGAATCCTTAACAGCAGGTTGATTTACTCATTTTACTGGACGTGCCAGTGAATTGTTATCAGCCCTGGTTGCCTGGGGAGCTGCTGGTTTGTCGTGTCGGGAACCCTTCTGTAAGTACACGGTGTTCATACTTGGATTCTGTCAGCTCAGGTCTGAGATATCTGTGGGATGAAAGTACTGGCAGGGGAGCTTGGAAGTATTTGGAAAGGAGAAAAAAATGTCTTTGCATGGACGCTCCTGTGTTACCTGTGAGCGAGCTTTAGGTCTGCAGAGATCTCACTGTGCTTTAACCATGTCATTGTTTTAGTCTGGAATTGCACTTAGCCTGCTTCACCCTCTTGTTTACTCTGGCCGTTACCTCTGAAATGACACCGCGAATCCTGCTCCTGTGCTGCTGCTTCCTGCTGGAAGAGTGATCCTCAGTGAGCAGTGCTGTCTACAGCGCTTATTCCTTGCAGGGTTACCACCTGCAGGCTCCGGGCTGTGCCACAGCAGCTCGCCCATCCAGCTCTCCAGCAGCTCTCCCATGGCACCATGAAGAGCTGTGCTAGAGATCCGAGTGCAGGATTGGTCAGTGTTTTGTTTGACATGTGGAATGTTGACATACAGTCCTATAAATGTAGTTATTGGTAAAGCTAAAGATAATATTTACCTTGAAATATCCATCGTTGGGGAATAAACGGCCGTATCTGCAGCTGAGGCGAGTCAGAATGAGTGCACTGCTTTCAGCTGAGCTGCCCCACTTTTTGCCATGCCAGGATCCGGCCAAGCCAGTCAGGTAGGTGTGTTGGCAGCCCAAGTGGAAATGTGTAGGGAGAGCTTCTTTGGGGGAGACGTTTCGTGGTTGTCAGCCGCTGCGTGTTTTAGTGACGCCTGTGACCCTTTTCTTTCTCCTCCCTTCCCTTTCTCCTCCCTCTTTCTCCAGGGTTCAATGCCATGGCTGCGGATGAAAGTGCTACAGAAAAGCAAGCGGGGGAACCAAAAATGGCTGTAGATGGTGAAACCAACGGTTCCTGTGAGCACGGCGAGGCTGGGAGCCACCCAAACCCAGCGAAAAACACTCAGGACAACACGAAAGTGAGCCAGCAGGACTCTAGTACTAAATTAAATAGGATAGCAGAAAATGGCATTTCTGAACGAGACGGTGAGACTGGGAAGCAAAACCATATGAAAGCTAATGACTTCACACAGACTTCTCTAACAGGGAGCAATGGATATATTCTAACCAAGCAGATGGCACAGGAGCAACCTCTAAGGACTACCAGCACCTTTGCTTCTCTCACTGGCCATGCTGCAAAAACCCTTCCAGGAGGAGCAAGCAAAGGGAGAACTGTGGGCACCTTTTCTCAGATGCAAGCCACGATGCCAGCCAAGCTCGGGGAGGGCAGTAAGGACATGGATGCTAAAAAAGCCACTGCTGCTAATGCTGAAGTCAAGGTCCACAGAGCACGGAAGACAATGCCTAAACCCACCCCTAGCCTGGTAATGTATAGTAGACCCATGCTAGCTCTTGGCTTTCTCTGGGTGTGTGGGAGGGACACTTTGTTGCACGGGGATGGATATATTCCAGTGACCTCCTGCTAAGCAGGCTGATTTTAATTCTTTTTTCTTTTTTGATGTTTTTCTCTTCTCACAGAGAGACAGAGGTGTTCAAAGAGTCATGTGGCTGCAGTCAGCTCTCTTCCCCAATGTGTTTCTAAATATATAATTGATCAATTGCCTTCTCTGGCAGATCTATCAGACACTAAATGGCCTTTCTCTCCTGGCTGTATTGCTCATCAGCTGTCTGTTGAAATCCAGAGCTGCTTATGAAACAAATTAGATTTCTTATAAGTTTGACCCAAAGGAAATTAAGCTTAGTGTGTTAACTGGAGGCTTCTCCTAAGCTTGAAAGCTGTCAAGAAGCTGATAAGTTAGGCAACTTGATTGCATTGCCGTGTCATTAAACTGGATGATGCTTTCTTACTCTGTACGTGCTGCCTACACTAATGCAGCTTGTTCAGAAATCTTTCTTACAGAATCCTTGGGTGTGGATTTACCATCACTTAATAAAAGAGAGATCTATCTTTTGTTCAGGAAGTAAAAGGGGATTTGAAGTCATCCTGTGACCCCAACATGTAATGGGAGTGAGCAGAAATGGGCCTTTGTTTGTCATAAACATGGACCAAGTTTTGGTTCTTTCGCCAAAGATGGGGAATTAGATACTGGGCACAATCAGATCTGCACCACGAGCACTTGATCTCCAACCCTGTGACACTTTATATTTAGCTCTGATGAGCTAGATCCTTCCATCGTGCTGCGTCTAACGATGGAGAGGGACCATCCTGTACCCAGGTTGAGGTACACAGATTGCTGCGAGCCCTGCTTGGCAGTGTGAGTGACACCCAGAAATAAATGGGAAGCTGCTGCAGCTCTGTAAGTGCTGGCGTAGTGGATTGCTGCTAGCTACCAGCATGTTGTGAACAAGCAAATGCCAGATGATCCTCAGATGTCACCTACATGTTGCAGCACGGCAACAGTACGATGTAAAGGTCTCAAAGCTGCGAGCAGGGGAAGGGGGAAAAAAAAAAAGAGAAATGCTTGGTGGCACATAGCCAGCCACAGATGGGGAAAGGTGCCCTTGGTGCTGCAGCACCTGTGACTCCGGAAGCAGGTGGGAGTCCAAACACATGGAGCCTGCAAACCTTGTGGCGTGCAGCCTGCAGAGCAGGGCAGAAACCACAGGGGCCACAATTTCCCAGCCATTCTCCCAAACCACTAATTTCCCCTCTGCCTTCCCCTGATTGCATTTGAATTCTCTGGCTCTCGCCCCCCTGCTGAGTTTTTTGGCTGGCAGCTGGGGAGGCCCAGATGCAGCGCAGGCAGCCTGATGGAAGGCTCATGGAAGGCTTTCTTACCCAAACAAGGCTTTGCAGCTGAAACCTTGCAGCTTTCCTCCAGCAACCTGCAGTGCACTTAAATTAGGCAGGGCAAACCCCGACCCTGGTGGAATTTGACAGGGAGAGACCCCCGTGGGGCTGAGCAATTGAAAGAGGCAATTCCCTTCTATAAAACAACTGCTAGGTTAGGAAGGAGTGTTTTCATCATTCATATTTGATGATACATCAGAAGGATTTTTTATACAACCCCTTGGGCTTTTGGGCTTGTCTCTAGAAAGCTGCTTGCAACGTTGGAGTGTTTGCATTGCCACGTTATGGGAGTGTTGTAATTGCACTGCTGATCACCCTTCACTCTTGCATCAGCAATGGATTCAAAAGGCAAAGCCTGCAGTTGTTTGGCCACTGTTCCTCTGCAGTGCAGCCCATTTCCTTGGGTTGGAAATGGTGAGAGGAACGAAATTCACAGGTGGTAGGCAGAGGCTGTTCACACATTTCCTGCTCAGAGGCTTTGCATCTGAATGCGAGCGCAGGTCCCCAAGATTTGATCTCATTTCTGCAAGACAATAAAGCAGCTGTTTTGTTCAGCCTTCCAGATAATTACTACCTATTTTTCCCCATTGTCTTTCGAATTTACATGCTGTTTTCATTTGAGGAACAAAGTCTTTGCTACTTGCCATTTTTCTGTCCTGATTATTTCTTTGTTGAGCAGCTTATGAGAGGCTCCTCAGCGCAGCACATGCAGTCGTGCCTTTTCCCCTTTGAAAGCACTATGGATGTATTTTAGGAATTGTAGAAATCACCCACAATTTGATGTGACTGGATGCATGGGTTTTCATCATCAATTTTTTAGAGCATTGCTCTTCTCTTGGTAGAATCCTTTTACACGCATTGCTAAGAGAAGGAAGCGGGGAAGGAAGGTATTTTAATGCATTGCAGGCAACAACTTTCATTCCTCAGCTCCTGCAGAAACCTGCTGGGGCAAAAAAATTGTTTTCTTCAACCTTACAGTTGTCAGGGGACCTCAGTAGCCTTTTCTGTACGTGCATATTGGTGCCTGAAAGGAAGGAAATGATTTTCTCACATGTGTAACCAGCTTTTTCTCTGTTTAGGAATTGCTTCCTGAATTGGGATCGAAGCTGAATCTTAAACAGGTGACAATTTTAATTGATATTGTTGCATGTTAAGTTGGTTTTTGAACGGAGATCTCAGAAGAGTTTTGACAGCGTTGGTTTTGCTCCCCTTCTGTTGGTGCAGTAGCACAAACTCGGCACCTTTGGAAGAATTTCTTCCATTCTTTCTTAATCTGTTTATAACTCTGTTGAGAAAACAAAGGTTTGCGGGGTGAGACAGCAGACCAAAGGGGAAGTTTTGTGTGTGTGTGTTGAGCTTTGAGAGCCCTTCCTGCTCAGAAATCCCCATTTCTATGTATAAACTCTCTGAGATGTGTCTGGAAAGGAAGAAGGATCTTGGAGGTGAAAGTGACCCATAGTTATCCCTTAAGATAGGAGCAGCAGCTGCCTGAGCTGGGACTCCCAGGTTGTTTCCAGTCATTCTGTGGTGACCACGAGGCTGCAACTGGAGCTGTGTGTTTCTGGTGGCAGTTTTGTGCAGTGTGGAGAAATGAGGTCAGAGGCACTGAACCCTCTGCGGAAACAGGGGAATTAATATCTCATTCTGTTTCACAACGTGAGCCCGAAATATGGGATCCCTTTAACTGGGAGGGATAAAGCCTGGGCAGGAAGGAGGAGCAAGGAAGAGAACAGAACTCCTTCACTTATATTGGTATTTATTTCTGCTGTCTGCTGCTGAATGCCTGGTCCCAGCACTGAGAACTGCTGGCTTTCTGTGTGCAGAGAGGTGTTGCTGTTGCTGTAAAACATGATGTTCTGTGTCAGTGCCCAGCAGTGATGTGGGCTGCACTGCAGGAGCTCCTCGTGGCCTCAGCACTTCTCAGGGCCAGGCTGGTGGCTGTTGGTGGTTTGCAACAGTCTGGGACCGCTCAGCGAGATGAAGCCCTGTGATATGCAAAAAAAAAAACCTCAAAGGGTAAATTCTAATGGGAGTGGTGATGGGGGAGTTGTCTCCTGGATGGAAAAAATCATCAAAAGAAAAGTGAAAGAGCTTTCCATCTGATTTGGAGAGCTGCTGTTGGCTCTTCTGACCCTACAAGGGGCACCCTTTGAAGACCCTCTCCAGAGGGATGCTCAGGGATACACGTGTGGTCTGGAAATGTGAGGTCTGTGTGTGTGTCATCTTGGCCGTGGTCAAATATCCTGTGTGGGCACCCTCCCTTAGGACTGAAGAGGCCATTGGCATGGGATGTCTTCCATTCGAGGTGGGTGTGTGACCACGCGCACATTGGTGCCGTTGCAGTCATCCAAACAGGGCCAAGCTTCTGGTGGCCTGCTGATGGATGGATAGCATGGATGGGTCACTTGTGGAGCTGGACTCATCACACGGCCTCGCCAAGACCGCGGTGAGGGTCCCCAGGGAGCTGCTTGAGATTCTGTACTGAACTGTAATTCAGCAACAACAGCAGAAGTGATGGAGAGCTGCTCTGCCGTGGCTCATGCAGGCAGCGAGATCTGCTGGGGATCTGGTTTTCGTAGCAGACCGCTATTTCTTGCTTAAGTATCATTGCCCAAGTGTTGGAGCCTCTGGCACATCCACATTTTGCCATGCCCAGAGGTGCACACCCTGTTAGCACTCGCAGCCAGCTGCAGATGGACACCAACCTTGCTGCAGCGGTGCTTTGGGTTACTCCTCTAGCTATTGGGCTTCATTTGCAAGCTCATGCTGTGCTGGAGATAAAAGTTCTGAGAATAAGGAAGAGAAGATGGCTGACATGGCCGAGCTGGAGCTGGGAGTGCTGTGCGAGCAGCAGCTCTGCTGGGAAGCAGCACATGCTGGAGCCTTTGCTCAGCACATGGCTGTGCTTCCAGCATCACTCCTCTTCTTGCCAGCTCATCTGCTTTGGTAATGAAAGAGCTCTTAATTGTGGGGCTGTGGGAAGAACGCTGCGCGGTCTGCCGAACCGACACGGCGTTTAATTAGTAAGGTTTATTTGTTCTTTATCTTTGCTTCTGGGAAAAAATAGTGGGATAGTCTGTCTTTGCCATTTTTAGTAACTTCTCCCTGCTGCTGTAGGGGATTTCTGTGCCAGTAATAGAAACAGGGTTGATCCCATTACAGTGTAGTAAGTACGTGGATATGATTTTCTTAAACACATAAAATGAAGTTGTCTTGTGCCAATCTAAGGAGCATGAATGCACTGAACGTATTTGTGATTCAGTTTTTTCCATTCCCATGCACAGATGTCTCTGGACACTGCCCTAAGCCTTTCAGTGGATGCTTTTGGTTTCTTGCCCATTCCTTGCAATGCCCAGCACAAAGCAGGAACTTCACAACCTGTCATATAGCATTGGCTGACGCCACGTGAGAAGCTGCAGAACCAAAGCCATTAGTAATGCAGTTTGTCTGTGATCATTTTTGATCGTTTTTTGGTTGATGGTGGCTCAGGCCTCTTGGGACCACAGAGCTCAAACTGGCCTGGAGCTGTCTTTGCATGGGGTTCTCCTCACTGTCCTCTAGACTGTGACATGCAGCTGAAAACAGAACTTGTTGGACTGTTAAAAACCTATGTATGATTGGGGAAAAAAAAAAAAAAAGACACCCCAGGTGTATCAGGCAGAGCAGTGGGGTAAATTTAGTGGCAGTAATCAAGCATCTTGCCTGGAATGTTGATGTTTGCAGTGGAGCCCATGTAGGTGTTACATGAAGGCACTCCTGTTCCCTTGCATTATTTGGTTTAAGTGAAAGCAGATGATGCAGTTTCTGAGTGCAGCAGTTTATTTAGCTGAAACTGCTTGTGGAAGTGTGGCACCCGTGGTGGGGATCTCAGCAGGTCACCTCCTGGAAAGCCAGGCGTTGCCTTCCTGGCATGGTTGCTTCTGGTGCAAGCTGCAGTGTTGCATTTTCCACCCAAAGCAGAGAGACATGAAGAGGAGGAGCCTGGATCTTCAGGAATCGAAGCAGGAATGTGATAGAATTTGTCACAGCGAATTGGTGATGAGCTCTGTGGGGTTTATTGTGGTGTCTGCTGTTGGCAGCCCCCTTGTACACTGTGTGCCTCTCACCTCCTCTGCCGACCTGGGGAAGGGCAAGGGAGCTGGAAGGCAAGAGTCAGGAGTTGGCTTGGGTGACTGCTGGGCTGCAGGAATTATCTTGAGGCCTGCTTGCATAAGGAGCAGGGAGGGTGAGGGGAACCCATCCATCATGAAAGTGGAAAGCAGCAGCAGGTGACAGAAGCACTAAATGCAGTCAGATGTGATCAGGTAGCAGACCGTGGAGGTGGTACTGGGTCGTGCCAGCTCCGGGCTCATACAGAGCAAGGCAGAGCAGTGGCTGCCAGGACCTCTGTTCTGCAGGGAAACCCTCTGTCCGACATTTGCCTTTGACAGCTTTCTCTCCAGCACTAAACTTGCTGGTGTTTTGCATTTGGAGATGCCCTCTGGTTGTGCTGGGGGCTTGCAGGCACACCTGTGAGCTTTATTGTTCTGTAATATTTTGTTTCTGTTTTGCTTTGATAGGAGTCTGTAGTGCTCCCAAGAGCTCTGTATCCATCTACCCAGTCCCAAATGCTTGGTCCTCCTTTTGCCTTCCCCTTTTAGTTGCAGCTGCCTGCTGTCCTCTGCTGGGAGGGGCCAGTTGGATGTAACCTGGGGATGAGGACTGGGGGACATCTGTGCATGTGCCTGAGCCAGCTCTTCACCAGCCTGATGGGATTTGAAGGAAGAAGAGATTTCCCAGCAGAGCAGTGAGCCAGATTAGCAAAACCTCTTTTCTGGGAGTGCTTAAATCTGGAACCGATGGAGCAGAGCAGTGCAGGAGCTCAGTGTGAGGGACCAGGAGGGACCAACCTACAGACTGGGGCCAAGGAACCAACAGAATTCAGAGACCTTAGAAACAAGAAAAGAATAAAGTTGGATCCACTAAGGACTCGTAGCGCTGTTGGTGGAAGGTTAAAATCTAATGAGAACAGTGAAGATGTAACGGTTTCAGCTCATGGGGAATGAAGAAGGATGGTGGGAAAGCAGAGAAATGCTTCCAGATCTCTGCTGATCTTTTTAGCCCCAATCCTCAGATTTAACATTTGATTTCTATAGCATGAAACTTGTATGTAATATGTTTTGCTGATGGCCTGTTCAGCTTTCTGTGCCATTATCACAGAATCATAGAATGGCCTGGATTGAAAAGGACCGCAGTGATCATCCAGTTTCAACCCCCCCGCTGTGTGCAGGGTCGCCAGCCACCAGACCAGGCTGCCCAGAGCCACATCCAGCCTGGCCTTGAATGCCTCCTTGAATGCCATTAGGCTTCCTGGGAAATCTGGTTATGTCTCTGCAGAAGTTCTTGTTCCTTAGTATTGCTCCATATGGCTCCACATAACAGCAAACTTTATCTGAGACCACTTGCAAGAACCTGCATGTAAAGGACAAAGCCCTTATTTATGTACACTTGTTTAGCTGCAGTCAGATCTGCTCCTCCTGTTCATCCTCCTCATTTTGAGTTAAATCCGGAAAGCAGTGGATGTCCCAGGAGACCTGGGAACTCTCAGAATAATCCTGTATCCGAGAGTTAACCTTCATGTCTGTAAACTATGAAGAGGTATAAATAGTATTGTTGAGGCTATTATTGGCATGCTCTGCCCAGCACTCCTGACGTACTTTTTCTAAGTGGGAGAACAACTGGAGCAGACTCAGGAGTGATCCATGTCCAGAAGATGATCCTACGGGCACTGAATTTGCTCATTCTATTCAGCTTATCGAAGAGAAAGTTTTTGAAACTTTTACTTAAGCAGTCTGTAAGTACAGGAATGAGAGTTTCTGATGATACAGGGCTTTTTAGTTTAGTGGGAACAGCTTAATGCATTTAATTATCTGACAGTGAGAGCAATTAAGCATTGGAACAACATATCAAAGGGTATGGTAGATTTGTCATCTTTGACATCATTAATCCACGACTCGATGCCTTGTAGGAAGAGAGGTGCTAATTCAGCCAGAAGATATGGGCTTGATGTGGGAATCGTTGGAAATGTGCTGGCCTCTTTATGCAGGTCATTTTGGATTATCATTATGGCTTTTCTGGCTGTGACCAACCCCTCGCTTTCTGCCAGCAATGTGCACATGGCAGAGCTGTAATGAGGAGAATCAGTCGCTTCCCCGTTTGTTCACAAGGTCACAGATCACTTAAAAGCAGCATCTAACAGAGCCCATATGAACCCAGAGACTATCTTGATTGTTTGCTGCTCTTTTAATTCCTCCCTTTTGCCTGCATTCCTTTTTCAGTTCTGGTATTTCAGCTGTCGCTTCAAACATCCCATAAGAAGTGGTGGAGCAGCACATTGCCACCGCAGAGCTTGTAATCCAGCACCAGTGCTCTTGGATTTCTGGAGCATCTCTTCCAAACCTGCTTGCCAGTCAATGGACAGGTGTATGGAGAGGCATGGATGGGGCTAGGCCTTGTTTTAAGCACAGAAGACGGCACACCCAGTGTCAAATGGCAGATTGAAGTGGCACCATTTGCCCAATCTCTGCTGTGACAGCACAGCAGTGTGCATGTAGCTGCAGCAGTCGCGGCATGACTGAAGGTGCAGGGTGAGGTGTGTCACATCAGAGCGTGTGTAAGCTGTGTTGGAGCCTAGGAGCCTGTCTGCAGGCACAGAGCACCAAAGTGACTGTAAAATTCTCTTGAGCCTTATCAGCTTTTCAGTAGGGGTTTATCACCCGAGCTAGAGCGAGCTTTGCCACATCTTGCTAGGACCTGGCAGTGCTGGAGGTGAACCTGCAGTTTCAGGCAAATACCTTCCTTGGCTGTGAGCTGGGCAAGCAGGTGGGAGAGCACAAGCTTTGCTGAGTCCTTATGAGGCCAGAAGGAAGGATCCCTTCCCACTGCTGCCCACCCCTCGGAGTCCTCTGTGCAAGGCTCTGTTCCTTGTCTGCTGGGAGGTGACAGCTGCAGTCCAGATGTGTTTCAATGAATAGGTGCATTTGTTCATCTTTGTTCATCTTCTTGAGAGCCAACCTAATGCTTTTCAATATCTGCACTTACTTTGCAGAGCTTTGCCATGCCTGCTCTGTGTGCAGGTTTTCTCCTTCTCGGGGAGCAGCCCTCACCAAGTGACCAGCAGCAGGCTGGGTCTGTTTGTAGTCTTCAGGCAAGGAAACATTGTTTGCTAATAGAGAAGGGGCAGAGTGCTTTTCCTTTGAGCATCTGTTCCTACCTTCAGATGCAAGTGATTCTATTTGACAGAAAGGAATTAAATTTATTTCAGTGATTTCTTTGAATTCAGAGGCTCAATTTAACTTCACTTTGTTTTCCAGCATGCAAGTAAAGACCCCAAAGATGGGAGAGAAAGCAGAGATCAAAAAGAATCTAAAGAGGAAGGCAACAAAAACATCCTGGAATTTGGGAAGCCGTTGCCGTTGCCCTCTCTCCCGGGCCTTCACCAGTCACTACCTCAGAACCAGAGCTATGTGGCCACCTCCAAGTCGCAGACGGGTAAGAGGACAGAGCTAAAATCCTTAGTAGCACCCAGCTCCCAAACGTACGTGTGTGTCAGGGTCCACGGGCTGAGGCAGCTTGGTAAGGACTGAGCCTTTTGGTACTAGTTTTTCCACAGAGAATTGTAGTATCACAGCATGGTTGGGTTGGAAGGGATCTTAAAGCCTCCCCTCTGTTGGTGCAGCTCAGGTTGCAGTCAGCCTTCCAGGCTGCAAGCATGCACTGCTGCTCACGTCCAGTCTTTTGTCTGCCAGGACCCCCAGGTCCTTCTCCCTGCTGCTCTCAGTGAGTTCTCCTCCCAGTCCATACTCACATCTGGGATTGCCCCAACCTAAGTGCAGCGGAATCTGCTTTAGGATTTCCTTGCCTGGCAGCATCAGTAGGGCTGTTGCTGTAGATCTTGTTTTGACAGATGCTGCTTACTGTGAGCCACACTTGTGTAAATAAAATGATTTGGCTTGGCAGAAAGTTTTTGAGGGGACTCTTTCTAGATTTTTGATGGAACTTTGTCATAGCGAGATGTGAAGAGATGCTTTCAAGGAGCAGCCTCTACAGCTGCTGGTGCTGGAGCTGGCTGTTTCCTGCTGCATGCTGTTGTTAAAAGCCTGTACTAAGCACACTTCTGATGTGTGTGCACCAAAGGCAGCAGCAGGCACTGAGGTGTGAGGACTGGTTTGATTAGAAGGCCAGGAGGGAGACTCAGCAAGTTGAGACCCAATCAAAGCGGTGAAAGGAATCAAGCAAGCTTCCGTAGCAGGTGTGAAATGAGGTTAAATGGCAAACAGCTCCTTATTTAAAGTACCTTTTCTCTGTTTGTTCTTTAGTTATTATATGATGGCTTTATTGTAAGTCGGTATTATTAACCTCGCAGTATCTGTTTGAGCAAGCTGGATTCTATTCAGTCTCCTGTGGCATTAGCAGTGCTGCCAAACACAGGCGAATGTAAGGATTTGATGCTATGTATGGTGATACAGGGACCAGAGGAAACATAGAGGAGGTACTCGGAATTTGGGCGATTTTTGCAGCATTGGCAAAAAGCTCTTTGTGTGTTTGCACGTATGCATGTGTCACCTTTTGGCTGAACTGTAAATAAATCAGTTGGAATGGGAAGCCTTTTTTCTCAGATCACGTCCTTCAATATGGTTTCCTGCATTACAGCCTCTACTCTCACTCCTTTCTTTTCACTCCTGAACCAACTTTGGCTTTACTTATTTATTTTTTTTTTCCAGCTGCTGCAGTATCTCGAAAGAAAAAACGGAGAATGGGAACCTATAGCCTGGTTCCCAAGAAAAAGACCAAAGTGTTAAAACAGAGAACAATGATTGAGATGTTTAAGAGCATAACTCATTCCTCTGCGGGTGCCAAGGTGAGGGCTGCATCGAGTCGGCTGGGCATGTTTGCTGTCACCATGCACACACCTTGTCCTGCCACACCAGCCCCATGGGTAGAGTAGGAACATTGTTGCTGTCAGCATCTTCTGTTCTGAGTCTACATCTTCTCTCTGGCAACAACATCCTGCCCACGGCAGCCTTGCTGCTTTGAAAATGGCTTTTTGAGGGTGGATGTTCTGATAGCAGCTCTTGCAATGTTTTCCAGTGGATGTTCCCCTTCTGTCCTGTGAGTGCTGTGGGACTGGAGAGTTTAAAAGCATACCACAGCGTGGTAACGTTTTTGTTGTGGAGTCCTTAGGGTTACTGTCTAGTGTCGTTTGAGGCTGTAAGGGAAAACAACCAGTGACTTAAAAACAAACTGCAGGCTGGGTTTCCCTCCTGATCAGGTTCTGCTTTTGCTGCAGTCCTGGCCCTTAAGTTTTGGCCTTTGAATTCAAGTGAATTCAAAGCGCTAGGCATCAGTGGAGTGGAGTAAAAATCCCCCAGCCTGATTTAACTTCCCTTTATTTAGAAACCTCCTTTGCACCCTTGGTGTTCCATGGGGAGATGCCCTTTCGGTTAGTCTGCATGGTCTGGCTGAAAGCTGCTGTCCAGCAGCCCTCCCCTCAGTGCCTTGAGTCCAGAATGACTCCTTGTTCCCCAGACTGGCAGGGTTAGGTGGCGCATGGCAGGCACCTGCACTGCCTGTGCTGGCGGTGCTGGAGGGCTCTGGAGGGGCATACAGCTGGCTCTCCCTCGGCAGCTTTAACGCAGGCGGTCTGGGATGGGTTCAGCTGCTCTGAGCTGTGAACTGATGTTGTCTTTGTGGCACGTGTGCTTGGACAACTTCCAGAGTGAAAAGGAGCTAGGTGATGTCAGCCCTCACGTGAATGGGGAGAGCATAGATGTAGACTCTGAAGAGGAAGACTCTGATGAGTTGGAAGATGAGGACGATCACGGAGCAGAACAGGCAGCTGCATTTCCTGCAGACGATAACAGGACCTCTAAAGACAGCGCGTCTGACGCAGACAATGTCAGAAAGGTATTCACATGCCCCGTGCAGGACTTAGAGTGGGATGGGACACTGCTGATCCCTGTCAGACAGGAGTGGAATCAGTTGAGGCAATTTCTAGGCATTTTTTAGCATGCAAGATGGCAGAAAGCTCAGTGGTGGAAGTGAGGCTTTTGATGACCACTTCCTGCTTCCTTTTCCCCTCCCCCACGAGAGTCTCCTCGCCTACCCTCCTATTTCAGCCTTGCTACATAACTCTCTGTGATCCAGTGTATGTGCAGGACTTCCATCACAGTTAGGTATTCACTGCACGAGCAGGAGATGTCTTCCTAATTCTTTACCAGCCTGTAACTAGATTCAGGTTGTTTTAGTTAACTTACCCCAAATCACAGCGCATATTGTAGGTATGAGGTTGTTTCTTATTAACCACAAAAATTAACGTTTGGTTGGAAAACTTTCTTTGGGTGTTATCCTGTCCCATCCTCATGGGTGAACCATCAAGTGCGTTAACAGCCTTGGAGTGCTTGTCCTGGAGAGGAGATGGTGTTTAGTGCTCACATGGCTGGGGCTGAGTGCAGCACGGTGATGGGATGCTCAGGCAGGGTGTGGAGGGGTGCCGTGCTTGGAGGGACCTGACAGGACTGACTCTTTCTGTTCTGGGGCACATGGTGGCTGCAGATTGATGATGGCGACTCTGAGGAGGATCAAGAGTCTGCAGAGTCTGGAGAGGATGAGGAGGATGGAGATGAATCTGACTTGGTAAGCCTGGCTGCTAAATACAGCTTTCAACCGTTGTTCTGCTGGTAATGATTTCCCCTTTGCTTTGCTGCCAGAAGGAGACGAGCAGTGTAGTTTTGGGACTCTGACAAAACTCAGTGGCTGAATCCATGCACACAGAGTATTGTTTTCCACAAGATGCATAGCAGCGATACAGTTAATTACTTTCCAGCACTAATTAATGGGCTATTTTTCTTGTTTTCAACAAGGTGTTGACTGCTTTTAATCATTTGAATGGCAGTGGAAATATTTAAGGGTGCTTAAATTCGTTGGGTGCTGATTTGGCAAGTGGTGGGAGCAAGCAGTGTTTTCTTAACAACCTGAAGCTCAGCTTGCCTCCAGAGCGAGTCCAGGTGGAGATGTTCACAAATCCACTGCCTAAATTCACCTTGTCTGACATGCCACCTCAGAGGCACGGGCAGCCCTTGTCAGGCATATGTACAAACAGCATACAGAAAGACAGTCACTCTCCCTGGGAACGTCTGGTAGCCCTAAGGCAAGATTTTCACCAGCTGTTTGGTGATTTTGACTTCTTATTTTTCAGATGGCTGGTGGAGGGAACTTGAAAATTATTATAATTTTTTTAAAATTGCTGTTCATTGATTGTCTGTGTCTCCCCACCTTCCCCTTTACTTTAAAAATGTTGCTCCCTTTTCACAGCATCTCAAGTTGAGGAGCCAGCATTTAAAGCACCCCAATTCTTCAGTCACCTTGAGAAAATTCTTGACTTCATTGTCTCGATGTTTTGAGCTGAAGGTAGAAGCAACTGTACCAAATGAATTGTTGAAGCTCTGTAGAATCTCATTCCTTGTTCTCTGACACTACAAGAGCCAGAGAGGACTAGCCAGAAGGGGCTGTATAGCCTGTGCCTTTCACTGGGCAGCTTGAGGCACTTTTGTAGTGCTAGATCAAACTAAGGGTAGAGCTTGCAGTCAAGTCCAAACAGCCCAGTCATATCCAGACGTCCTAGACTGTGATTTTTGCTATGCTTATATGTGGTGACTCAGCCTGCAGCCCAGATGGAGACTGGCTCAGATGCAAACCTCTCACCCACCAGCAGTGATGCAACTGGTGGAAGCCACGTGGTGAGGCACAGCCTTACACTTGGGCACAGTGATTGTTGGGCCAGTGCAGACACCACTGCAGAGCTGCCTGGGGAGCCAGGGCTCAGCGCCACCTCGATCCTGCTGCACACTGTGTTAAGAGGGCATGGTGCAGCATCAGTTTCCTGTTAAGGTAGGCCACGAAGGTAGGCCTTGATCCAGCCTCTGTTGAAGGCAGCAGGAGCTTTTTTTGTAGGCTTCAGTGAGAGATGGAGTGAGTTCATGTTAGAACATGAATTTTATGTTTGGAGCTTTGTAACGCTGGGTTGGAGTTTCTGGTTGCCCATTTTAAAGTTGACTTTGAAAAGTCACCTTATTTTCTGTGTATTAAACAGAAAGGAAACCTAAACTCTGTTTAGATTCATACATGCCTGAAGATTGCTGTGTGATTAGGTTGTGCTGACACCTTGCTCAGGGAGGGAGCTGGTCTCTGCTGTGCAGTTAAATTCCCCAGGGTCCATCCCAGCCTGGGCTCTTCAGGTACAAGAGAGATTTTTTTCTAGCATGACTGTGAAGCAATATGAATATTTGAGTTGGAAAAAAAGAAATAAAGGTCACTTTTCTGGGGAGAAGCTAAAAGCGTGCACGCATACTCAGCCTGCTGTGCAGAGATGCTCAGCTACTCCTGAGATGAGTGTGGTGTTAGAGCCTACATGGAAGAGAAGGTAAAGTGAGCACTTTTGAGATGACAGGAAATACGCCCACACGTGTGCTGGTGTTTCCTTTTCTGCACTGTAAAGGCATTTCTGCACCAATTGATTTCAAACCTCAGTCCTTAAGGCCTTTTTACACTTCTCAAGCTGTGTGAAGGCTCTTTCATATGAGTGCAAAGGACTGCTGTGATGCTGATACCAACATGCCTTACATGCACATGGCCTCTCTGGTTGTTCAGAGCTCGGAGTCCAGCATTAAGAAGAAGCTGCTGAAGAGGAAAGGAAAGACAGACAGCCCATGGCTGAAACCCACCCGCAAGAGGAGACGGAGGAATAAAAAGAAACAAGCCAATGTGCTAGGTAACTAACTGAGTTTTGTTCTTTAGCTGCACAGAAAATGGTCTCCCAGGTAGGGTAAGGACCTCCGGCCCATGAGGCAGTGGTTGTCTGCAGAGCTCTTTCTTCCTTTTGAAGGGAAGGTTTTCCTTTATGGTCAGATTTACCTCTATGGTTAACCAGAGCCTGAACTGGCATCTCACTTACAGCTTGTGTCTGCACTTTAACAGCAAACTAAGCGTGAGGCAGCTTTATCCTGGGCATGCTGAAGTAATGATTATTGTTCACAAGCTCTCTTTTTTTTAGAACATCCAAAGATGACTTCATGGATGTAAAGTGTAACTGAAGGAGACTGGCTAGATGGAGAAGGGAAAGGAATAACCATCCCAGAGTGATGCTTGATTGCTTTTGTGTGGGTGTTAGTCCTGCTGAATGCAATGTGCTGGCTGTCCTTGCTATTCCAAAGCACTGCAGCCCATCCCTGGGCCTGAGTTCAGGTGGCCATTCTAGTTTGAGTGAAGTTACACAGCACTCAAAGGTTACAGTTCATTTTGTCCCCAGAAAGCTGTGGGCTGAAGATGGAGGAGGTGCAGGCTGGATCTGATTCCTCATCTTCAGGAAAAGTAACAGGATGAGTTTAAAAGAAAAAAGAGTTGGTAGTCTGTGAAGGTGTGCCTTCTCTTTGTTAAGGCTTCACACATCCATTGCCATCAGAGAGTTTATTCTGTTTGCTAATTCCTTCTAAACAGGCCGTTTTTTATCAGCAGTTGTTGCTGCCTATTTTCTGAATGACCACGTTGCAGCCCCTGGGCTGCCCTCAGCGTCTGTCACTCATCTCATTTTGTTCCTCCCAAGGCAAACTCTTCCTAAAAGGAAATGGGGGCTATTGATCCCTTTCAGAGCAAATAGCTAATTCTTCATTTGAGATGCAGGCTGTTTTTCTACCCCTTACATAAAGGTGGCAGCCAGTCTTTCAGGCTAACACAAGTCTCTTGGCCAAGCCTGAGTGGGAGAAGCAAACCAGGATTGAGAGTCAAAGCCAAGGGAATGTGAAGAGATGACAATTCCCACGAAGGCTCCAAGGGATCCCCCATGCAATCCCTTCCCAGCAGCAGCTTTGTTCTCTCAGAGCCAGAACTTGGCTTTTATGTTTTCCCCTCCCATTCAGCTGAATGTCACCTGTCTCGTCCTCTCCAGAACCTGCATCAGCAGCTGGTTTGCTTTGCCTGGCCGGGCTGTACCTGGAGCCCTTTGCAGCAGGTTGGAGATGGGGGAATGCGCCGAGCCCTGGTTTCAGCCCTTCCTTATGCCATTTGAGCTTCTGCTGCCCTACAGCAGGCAGAGATGTGCCTTCTGGATGCAGAACTTATTTGTCTCATTTATCCCTTTTTTTTTTTTTTTTTTTTTTTTTTGTTACCTACCTCCGTAGAAGTGGAAAATCTGTCGGATCAGACAGGGGTGGAAATAAGAGATGGGAGATCAATTGTGCCATATCTGCCCAGCTGTTACATTTCCATAATTCTGTGTGCATCTGTACTCATAGGCTCTCTGAGGAGCCTGCATGCAGCCATCTTGGTTAAATATGGCCTTTACACATGCACGCACTTTTTTTTTTTTTTTCCAGCTGTGTAAATATACGTGTGTTTGAATCTAGGTGCTGAAGCCTATAAATCATCGTTGGGAGGCAGAGAGGGCTCTGCCCAGGATAACAGCATGGAGTACATGGAGGTGTCTCTGGATTCCTTGGATCTGCGGGTGAAGGGAATCCTCTCCTCGCAGGCGGAAGGTGAGTGCTGGCTCGGCGCGGCCATGACCCACGTTGGCTTTGTTCGCTCAGCCCAAGCAGCGAGCGGAGCCCCGCATGCCCCCTGGTGGCTGCCAGAGCCCCGAACCCAGGCCTGGCCCGGCTGAGAGGCTTCCTGCAAGGCTGGCAGAAGCCGGGGGCCGGAGGCGTCAGGGGGGGCTGAGCGGTTTGGGAACGCTGCTGACGTGGGATGCATCCATCTGTCTGTCCCACTCCCCCGGCTTTGGGCGATGTATGTGTGGCCTCTGAGTGAATCATCGCCCTGCACACTGGTGCCTCGTCTCCTCAGGAACTTGCAGGGGTCTGCCTTTGGTGGCCAGTGAGGACGGTGGATGGTAGGGGTGTCTGAGTGGCCGCCATTCCCAGTGCTGATCCTTGGCTCTGGTGTGGATCTGACGGTTCTCCCCCGTTGCTCTTCTGCCTTCAGAAGTGGTGTGGCTCTTTGATAGGAGCACATCAAAGAACGGGTGGGAGTGTTTACCACCAAGGGAGGGTCAGGATGGATGAGGGATGTTTTCATCAGAGCCTCTGGATGTCAAAAAAGATTATGAAAGTGACAGCTTGGAAGGTGAGGAATGAGCTTTTTGATTTGTGGTCCTAGATAAAGCACTTAAACATTTAATATCTGGGCAGGATTCTACATGACAATTGCAAGGGCTTTCCTTCTGCTTGTGTCTTGAAACGTCTCATCCTTTCTCAGGGCTTGGTCTTGCAACTTAGCCAATGGAAACTCCTTGCAAGATGAAAAGAGCTTCTGCTCAGCTTGTAGGGTCGCAGCCATAAGGGAGAGTGCTTTTGCCAGGGCAGCTACAGAGGAATCTCTGTGAAGAATGAAGTTAGTCTTTGAAATTCTGCAGCAAAATAATTCATCTTTCAAAAGCTTCTAAAGCAGCAGCACAATTAATTCCTTCTCACTGGGACTCCAACCCATAGCAGGCTTGTGCAGGAAAAGCTTGGGACACTGCAGGGTGAACTGCGGGTGATGTTTGAGGGTTTAAAACCTTGCAAAAGATGTTACAGCTCTGTAGGACTAAGGTAGGTGTGAAGGACAAAAAGTAATCCCTGTGTCATTGGGTCAGTGTCTTGTGGTCACACGTAACCTAATAAATGAGTTGAATCCAGAGGAGCCCCAAGAATATTCAGTGTTCCCCCATTCCTGGCTGCGTGATCACTTAAAAGCCATTATCCACCTTTAAAAAGGCTTGGGAGTGTTAAATACCTGAGAGAAAGAGATGAGGAGAAGGCAAGAAAATCTGAACATCTTGCTGCTTTCTTTTCTCTGGTTTGTTCTCTTTCAAAAAAAAAAAATAATATATATATATATATATAAATAGATAGATAGATAGATAGATTTTGGTTGTGTGAGACCAAATAGTCCCAGGAATTTTGTTTTCCCCATTTGTGTAGTAAGCTTCTGCAAATAGCAGTTTATGCTTCCCTGATCTTCTCTATTTAACACTCCCCTTACTACTTGAATTTCCAACTCTATTTTGTTACCCACAGATTTCCTGGTGCCAGAGCGCAGTGTTGTGGGACAGGTGAGAAAGAGAGACTGATAAAAATCTGTATCTTATAGTTTTTCCACGTCGGGGTTTTCTCAGGATAAACTGTTTTTAACTCAGTATTCTTGAATTCAGCACTGTCATCTGTAGTGTCACTGGACTCAGAAAAGTGCAGTGTGCTTTTGCAAACTCCATCTGCTGCAAGAAGTGGGTCTTTGTAGGGTTTAAGTGATGCCTTTGAAGCATTTCAGGATGTGGAACTGGAAGATGCCATGAGACATGGACAGTGTTGATGGACTGCATCCCTTCTCCCAGAGGGTAACATCAGAGTTGATTTGCTGATCTTCTGCACTCTAGGTCTTTCCAATGGTCCTGAAGCAATGGAAGTAGACGGTCTCCAGGAAGTTCCCCTCTGTAGCTGTCGAATGGAAACCCCCAAAAGCAGAGAGATCACCACGCTAGCCAACAACCAGTGCATGGCCACCGAGAGTGTGGATAATGAGGTAGGAACCTGTCTTTCAGCTTCTCGCAGACTTTTTTTCCTGAGGACAAAGACATAAAGAGACAAAGCCGTGCCAGGAGCATGCATTACATCACTCAGATGCTCTGCAACATGCTAGATTGGGAGCCCACTGGTGTGGGCATGGTGGGGCAAACACCTCCTCCAGCACACTGCATGTGTCGCACACTCGGGTTAAAGCCACTCCAAAGTGAGTAGGAGCAGCCTGCAGGGCTAGCTGGAGAGGCACTGGGTGGATCTCCTGCTTGTCCTGGCTTGTGTAGCTGGATCAACTGGATGTAACAGGCAACGCTTCGGGCCAAGTGGGCTAAAATACATTAGCATGCATCAAAGTGAGAGAATCCAATCAGGGGAAGCTTGGAGCTGGTTCCCTTGACTACAAAGGAGCTGATGCAAACCCTTCCATAGCCAGCTCTTGAATTTCTGGAACTTGGCATGCCTTCCGCCAGCTCAGTCTCTTCTGGCCCTCCACTTTTCACCTCCCCCCAAGAGGCTTCTGTTACAAAGCTTCCTATGTCCTGGCAGTCCTGCGCAGCCTCTGTGGCTGGCTGGCTGGAAACATTGCACTCGAGGCCTCTAAACTGATCACAGCTGGGCTAGCTGGGCTCTGCTGGTTCTGAGAAGGTGGAATTAAGTGGCAAAAGTGACTTCCTCTCAGAGTCTGGAAGGGAAGACAGAAGCAAACTCAGGAGATGCTTCTTGCTCTGGAAGAAACTGACATTTCTGTGGTGCTTCAGCTGAGCTGCAGCCATGCTGCGGTGCTCTGATATTTACTGGTAGAAGGACAAGGAGTCGGAGCACTCCTGGCTCTTCTGGAGGTTCCCAGTAGAAAGGTGGATGGAGGGAGGAAGGGGTAATCACATTTACAGCCCAGCTCTACTTCTGTTAGTAGGTACCTATAGAGAAAGGAATTTCACTAGCATGACAAAGTTGATACGTTAAGGAGAGAATGCCCTGGAAACTTACAGGAGAGAGGGTTCTCCAGGGTTTCTGAATAACAAAACGTATACAGAAGAGTTCCTATGGTTGTCTGACAGTTCTCTCCCCAGATAAATCAGAGAAAGGAATAGTAAAGGCCACGCATTCTGTTAGATTCTTTTTGGCAATGGGTAAGTGACTCATAGATGTGGTAAGGATATTACATGTATGAATAGTGGGTTCTCTAGGCTGTCATGTCCTTGGATAATGCTGTAGTTAGGAGCACCGTGCTACACTCTCTAATGGCTGGAAAATAGCAATTAATCATTTTGTACTATTTTAGACTTTTCTAACAAATAATATGTCGTGACAGAATGATGCAGGGACTTCCTTACACAGGCAGTGCAGCTTCTCACGCCTTAATCAAATTTCCTCCACTCATAAATAAAAATCAATGGACTGGTCCTTTCCTGCAGCCCCTGGGATCTGTGTGCTAGCAGTGATCACTCTAGGCAAGGTGTCACAATCACAGGTAGGATTTGCAGCTGGAATTTGGGTAAGCTGGGTCAGAGATGCTAAGGGAGAAGAGCTCAGGTTAAAAACTGTTCTTTTTCTTTTTTTTTTTCCCTGTAGGTGTGTTGGTTGTAGGAGAAATGGAGTTTAAAATAAATCAGAGAGGGAGTTTAGTTTTGCTGAGAAAAAGCAGTGAATCAAACCTCAGCTAGAGCAGGAGGGGCAGCCTGCTAGTGATGAACAGACACTGTGTTCCTTACGGACTGCTCTCATCATGGAGGCAGAGTGCAGTGCACCACGCTCAGATTCTGGTAGGGCTGTTTCCTCCTATGAACTTCTCATGTTTATGTTTCTGTGCTGGAAATGTCCTTTGCCAAGCGTTTGGGGAAAGCAAGGTTTTCATCTGGAGGGAGTTATGAGAACCCAAACGATGTTGCACCGCGCTGGCAGGTGGCAACCAGGATGTGGAGGAGGCTCATAGGTGTATGCACAAGGGTGGCAGAAGGAAGCCCCAGTCCTTCTGGCGCAGCAGAGGGACAGACACCGCTGGGAAAAGCCCTGCTCACGGAGCCTGCTGTCACTAACACAACAAGGTGGTGTGAGAGAAGACAGCTCTTAAGCCCAAAATTACACACTGGTGAAATGTTTCAGAAAGCATGCTGACAATCTGACTGGAGTTGAGCTCTCGTAAACGACTGGCTATTCATCCCTGTGGTCTGGGCGGGGGCCAGTGCTGGAACCAGTACAGACGATAACATAGCTGGCAACGAAGAGCAATTATTTTTCCCTTTATCTTCCTGTGACTTGTACTTTTGAACAGTAACAAGATTTAGTGCGTACGGTCTCGTTCTCTTGGTCACTGACACCCGCTCTTCCTGGCAAAAGCAGAGAGTGTTTTGTGAGTCAGGCCCCTGGGACTGCCCCCTCTGTGGCTGCTTGGCTGTTGCGTATTTCCAGTTATGATTTTTCTTGCAAGGAACAAATGACTCCGGTCCACATGCATGTTAGTTAGCAAATGATGCATTTCTTCCTGTGAGAGCAGCTTTCACAGCTTCCTGCTGCACTGCTAATGCTATCTGGCACACATCTGAATTACTGTGAAAAAGCCAGGGCTCATCAAGGCAGTGTGCAAAATCTTCCTCCGCACAAGCACAGAGAGTGTTTTGGTCTCCAGTAATTTCATTTCCTTTAATTTCTCCTGTTCCAGCTGGGCCGATGCACAAACAGTGTGGTTAAGTATGAACTGATGCGCCCGTCTAACAAAGTCCAGCTTTTGGTGCTGTGTGAGGACCATAGAGGGAGGATGGTGAAACACCAGTGTTGCCCTGGCTGTGGATACTTTTGCACTGCAGTAAGTCCGTGCTCTCAATCTAGGGAAGGGGGTACTTGTCGCAGTAGCTGGAAGAGGTGAAGGTGGAGATTTACCCAAAGGGGTTTACTGACTTCCTGGCATAAGCTCCACCTCGTTCCACAGCACGTCAGATGGTGTTTTCAACAGTAATGTGTGTGAGGGTAGCTGCAATGCTCACCTGTAACTTCCTGGAGACCTCAAGGGGTGTTACCAAAGGGGTGGAAGTCATACCTTTGGAATTTTTTTGGAACTTGTTTGTTTTTTTCTTCCTCTGTACAGTCAATCACATCACAAATGGTGTTAGCCTGCTTCTTGAAAGAGTCTGCATACAGGACAGGGGTTCTGTCCCCCCCCCCCCGCCACTCACAGGGGTTTAGGTGGGGAACCTGAGTGATGGCACTGGAACAAGGCAGTGTTTGAGATCTCCTGCTCCTTCTTCCACCTCTGCCACTGAGGTTTTAATAGCGTTGGCCCAGTGCTTTGAGCCATTGGTGTCCTTGTTTCCTTGCTGGTGAAACCCTTGTTGAGGGCCTCCCGGGGTGATAGGGTGGGTTAATTGTCTGATGTTAGGGTTCTTTAAGATGACTCAATGAAAGATGCTAGAGAAGTCTCAACATTATTGTAATAAATGGAACCGTCCTGAGTTTTCATGCTGAATCAAAGATCATTTAAAAGATAAAACCCTCAAAACGCTCGAAGGCATTTTGCAATGCTGAAATAGTTAATTAGATTTCTTGGGAGGACTGTGAATCCAGGAGAAGAGTGGGCTTTAACTAACTTTTCCTTAATGCTGTTACGTCTCTGAGTGACTTCATAGTTCATAAAGGTAAAACTGGCAGTGTTTGTCTGTGTTATCAGTCACTAATAACACAGAGCACGGTGGGGCTTCAGGTAGCACTGATATCACAGAACAAACAGTGTGTTTGTTCTGGGGTGCAGTTCAGCTTGGAAGACTTTGCTGGAAAGAGAAGATAATTTGTAGAAAGGTGGCTCACATCTGTCAGCAGATGGGGTTAAACAGCATACAGGGCTGGTCCAAAGAGAGAAGTTGCATGCTTTGGGTTACATTGGGATTGACAGCTGATGTAATTGTATTATTTGTTCCTCGAATGGTTTGCGTGCAGATGTGTTTGGTAGTTTTAGTGCTGACTGGTTTGAAGTTTTCTTTTCCAGTATTGGGAGCGTCCTTACAGTACACTGGCACTTCTAGAAACGTAAACAAGAACCTCAAGTGTTAGAGCTGGAAAATGGGACTTTGTGGTTCTGTTTCCCACGTGCAATTAAAAAAAACTTGCTTTGCAGTTCCTAACCAAGTGAGTTTTTTCCCATTACCTTGGTTTTGTTCTCTTCTAAAGAAGTGGCAGTGCTTGCTTACTGTACTGGAAGCGCGAGGGACAGGAGTGGTCATGAATGAAGTATTTAAGAGCTCTGCGGATGAAGCATGTGGAAGGGGTAAGGCACGTAGTGACCAAGGTATGAATGTCTCCTCTAATTTTTTTAGGGCACTTTCATGGAGTGTCAGCCTGAGAGCAGCATCTCCCACCGTTTCCACAAGAACTGTGCCTCCCAGGTCAACGACATGAACTACTGCCCACACTGCGGGGAAGATGCCTCCAAGGCAAAGGAGGTGACAATAGCAAAAGCAGACACGACTTCCACGGTGTCGCTGACCTACGAGCAGCAGAAACCAGCAGCAGTGGAAGGAAGGGCTGACACCACGACAGGAAGGTGAGCATAGGAGCACGTGGCAGCCTCAACTCTTGTGCCAGGCCGTGCTTTGCATTTGAATGCTTGTGCTCCTGCTGGCAGAGCAAGGTGTTTTCTGGTGCTGCGCTGACAAGCCAAGCTCAGCTGCAGGTGTTTGCAGGCCTATTCTGTGCTACAGTGCCAGAGAGGAGCCCAGCAAACACAGGACGAGCTGGGGCAACGGTCATGAAGATTTGGGGGTTAATACAACTCCTTCCTCTTATTGTTAGAAATGAAACTGAGGCATGGGAGGTTTAGGTTGGATATTAGGAGGAAGTTTTTCACACAGAGTGGTGAGGCACTGGAACAGATTGCCCAAGGAGGCTGTGGATGCCCCATCCCTGCAGGCATTCAAGGCCAGGCTGGATGTGGCTCTGGGCAGCCTGGGCTGCTGGTTGGTGACCTGCACATAGCAGGGGGTTGGAACTAGATGAGCATTGTGGTCCTTTTCAACCCAGGCCATTCTATGAAATTCTATGAAATAGTAGTGGAATGAGTTGACATCCCCATGTGTGGTGAATGAGAGAGAAATTCATGTGGAATACCTACCCTGAGCTGCTTAGCTGCCCACAGCAGTGGGTACAGATGCAGAGAATCAAAACTTAGAGGAAAACGTAAATGAAGACATCCCTGTGATGAACAGTACTTCACCTTCCCGTGTGATCTGATCCTGTTCTCAAGGCTTTTATGACTTGCAGTGAGCAGGGCAGTGCCCTCAGCCCCATGATCTTCTGTTGCCTGTTGCAAAGAGTACATCAAAATGTAGTCATAGGACAATGCAACTCCTTTTCAGGGCAAGTTCTTACCAAAAAGCCTGTGAAATATCTTGCTTTGTGTTTCAATTTTGCTTATGCTGTCGGTCAATTTAAAATCAGTTTCCTTTCCTTCTTTAGCCTAAGATACACACAGTGTTGTATATTTGTAATGGTTGTGCTTTGGCTCTCTCTCATTTTCAGTGTCACTGGAACGCGGTTGTCTGAGGAAGACAAGCCAGAAAGTTCGGCTGCAGAGGGATTTGACTTAGCTGGATCTTCAGTTTTTCCAAAGCCTACTACCAGCCTGACCCAGGGACCAGTTAAAGAAACTCTGGAAAGTGCCCTGATTGCTCTGGACTCTGAAAAGTAAGGAAAAGGCCTCTGGGTCTCTCCAGTTCCCAGCAGAGCTGCTTAACCTAAGGAAAACTGAGATTTAGCTTCTGTGGATTTTGACTCCACTCAGTTCTTGTGTTCTCTTATTCACTTCAGTCACTTGTCAACTTCAGCGGATTACTGATTCCAGAAAGCAGTTAAAGCTCTAAATGTCATAGTGATTTGTCTGGAGGACTTTGCTTTTCACCAGACCTCTAACTTCAGCTACGACTACTAGGAATTCCTATTTGTAGCAGTAAGATCCAGAAATTTTTATTAGCAACTCTGAGTAGGTATGGCTGCTGTTAGAACAAGGCTGACTGTGACCAAAGCTGGAGGTTTGAATATCTCCTGAAGAGTTGATGTTCTTTGGTGTTGCTGGCATTCTGGAGCTGTACCATAGGAACAAACTTTCTCTTGCCTACGGTGTGGGTTGGGGTAAAAAATACTGGGGAGTGTTGTTCAGTGTGTGTTAATTCTGCCTCTTTCCCCATTGCTGCAGACCCAAGAAGTTACGGTTCCATCCAAAGCAGTTGTACTTCTCTGCGAGGCAAGGAGAGCTGCAAAAAGTCCTGCTTATGTTGGGTAGGTGGCTCTTTCCCAGGACACAGGATGTCTGGCTGTACTCCCAGCTCCTGCCAGGCAGCTGCCAGAGCCCAGTTCCCAGCATGGCAGCACGTCATATTCCCCACTGCCCCTTGTGAGTGGTGTTGGGAGGAGAAAGCCACTTTTGCAAGTAATGTGTCATCAGAAATGGCTTAATCTTTCTGTGAAATGTGGACTTGCTCCCAGCTTGCTTCTGCATTTGGACGCAGTTTTATCCAGAGAAGCTCTCTCCACCCCAAATGACCTATGTTTGATTTTTCCAATCCAGTAGAACTTTGCCTCCCCGTGCAGTGGGATGGTTGGTTATTTGCATCCAGTGGAGAGCTAGAAAGATGGGAGTGTGATTAAATTAAGACCAGTCAGCAAGAAAGCGGAAAAGAGGAGAACTTCAGTACACAGGGCTTTGTTCTGGGGGTACGTAACTGTCACCAGATGATTTTCAGCTGGTTGGGGCTGTTTTTACCAACAGATATTCCCAAGCGATATCTCCTTGTGAAGGACACAGCGTTTTACTTGGGATCATTTCCTTTCCACTCCAGTACTTCAAAGTACATTTTTGGATGCTTTCTGTTCTTCTGCATTTATCACCCTTTTTTTTTTTTCTCCTAGCAAGTATTAGCTTCATTGTTCCTGTCTTCAATAGCACCAAAATGTTATTCATTGATATTTAGCTACGGCCCCATCATATGCAACATGTTATCATGCCCAGACATCTTTGTCTGGCTGTCATCATCATCTGTCAGTCTTTGCACAGCTGTGAGAATTTCTGGCCAGATCCCAAGCTCATGTTGGAGCTCCATCCTCTTTGCAGCCCTTTTCCCTACAGCAGTGCAAAAAAGATCACTAATACTAAGTGCAGTTAATCATGGTCCTGAGACAATAAAGCTGGGTAGTGCTGACTTTCTGTTGTTTCCAACAGCAGCACTTTATTTTTTTCCTTCTTACCCTTGCACGGTGTTGATGGTATTGCAGTGAGACAAGGGGAATGAAGGAAGTGGCTTTTGTAGAAATGGTAATTGCTACAAAAATTAGAAGTATTATATTCTGTGGTGTTTCTGAAGCTCCTTGCTTGAGGGCTGCTGCATACCAGATGTACTAGGGACTACTCTGAGAGCTTTCTGGCTTGCATGTATAGTAAGAAGGGCTGAGGATGGGCTAGGGGAAAGTCTTCTAAAAGCTTCGGTCGAGAGCTCCTTGTCTTGTTACCCTTTTCTCTGATCTCTGAATTGTGGTTGAAGGCATCTCTGCTGTGTTTTTCAGTGGATGGAATTGACCCTAATTTTAAAATGGAGCATCAGAGTAAGAGAACCCCTCTCCATGCTGCTGCTGAGTCTGGCCATGTGGACATCTGCCATATGCTGATTCAGGTCTGTCTCTACTTCACTGTTTTTCTGTGTGAGCAGTTTTCTGTTTTTTGGTCTTGTGCCCCACAAAACTAAAGCACCGTTGAAAAACCAGCATTGAAAAACCTCCTCGTTCACACTGTTTGCTGCAGGAGGGAGTGGTGCAGAGTGATGTGAAGACTTTGGTGATGTGACTGAAGATGTCTTTCCAGGCTGTTCTCCATACCAGCTTCACTGTCTGTGCAATGAGCACGTGGAGCTTTGATGCAGGGCACTGTAGTGCATGTGGGATGCTCTGTGTCTGAGCACACCCTGCAGTGTAGTGCACTGCCAGATGTGGCAGCACAGGCTGACCTGCAGGTAGCTGCAAGCTGCTGCCAACTTGCTCTTTGTAATGCTGGTGGGTAGGCTGTAAAGCCTGCGGGCTGTCAGACCCTGTCTTGTCTTCTGTCAAAATCTGAGCAACTCCAGCAGGGTTGTCCTTTACGCTTGTGAAAAGAAGGAAGATGCAAGTTTGACTTGTTATGTGAGATGTAGACATTTGGGCTCTGGTAAGTTTGAATGAGGGAAGATGGTGAAACACGTAGCAGTGCTGCTGTTGAATCTTCTCCAGAACACTGTGAAGAAAAAAGGAGGCCTTTGAAGGGCTGTGGTTTTTTTTTTGCATTGGCACCTTGAGCATCTGGTTGTGTCTTCCTTGCCCTTTGTGACTGGAAAACTGTAAAAGTCTTCTGAGAAAGTGGCAAAGCCACTCTTTGATAATGAGGCTGCTGAGATGTCTCAGCATTCAAAGTGCTGTTTGAAGGTGGAGCTTTGCTCACTTGAGTTAGCACAAGTACAGGTGGAATGACTTGTATGAGTAAAAGGAGCAAAATTTGCAAGACACTACAAACAATTCGAGTTGATGATCAGAAGGGCTGGTTTGTTTCCAGAATCCTTTGTATTCTTCTCTGTCCCCTGATGTCTGGCTATTGCAGCAGCAGTGTGTTTGGCTGGGATTGTCCGCAGTGTGTTAGACTTGAAGTGTCTCTTCTCTGGTCTAAACTGCTCTAGCTTTATAAAAGTGATCAAAACAAATACATGCAGTGGGAGGCACACAGAAGCAATGGGGCCATCTTCTTGTGCCTGGTGAAACTGAGGCAGCACGTTACTGTTGTAAGCAGGTCTTTGCTTTGGGCGTGGGTACATGCACGGTGTGCCAAGAGTTGTTCTATTTCTCAGATTTTCTTTTGGTTTTAAGTAGTGGGTGGATTATTGAGCTACATCAAAGAGGGCAAGATGCATGGGACAGTAGAGATAGTGGTCCAGAGCACTCCATGTTGAACTTCATGTGTTCTCAGAGAAATACTGGCATTGATTTCAATAGAATAGTTAGCCAGTCTGTAGCATTTCTGACACCTCCTTCCTCTGTTGTGATCAGCAGGTTGTTCCTACTGCCTGTGACATTGGGAAGCACTGCTTGTCTGTTTGTTGTGTCAGTAGAGATGATAGACCAGGGTAGACCAAGCTTCTGGGAAATGAAGGCAGATTTCTTTTGTCAGCATTGTTACCAGCACTATCCATAGAGCATCAGTACCAAAAGCAGCAATGACAAGAGCTGTTTCACACCTGTTTGCTTCTTTGTGCTCTAGTTGCTGGCTACAGGACGCAAGCAGTGTGCACTGCTTTCCAGAACAGGTGAAGTTTGTCTGTCTCCTGCCTCTGGTGGTTTTGTTTTTTTTCTCAACGTGGCTGAATTTCAGGAACGTCTTGCTGCTAAACTTGCTACTAAATCTCCACTCCCACATCCTTCCTTTGCTAACCAGTAAAGGTTACAATTGTCCTTGTGTTTGCCTTGGCCTCCTCAACAGGCTGGTGCGAATATAGACAGCTGCTCTGAAGACCAGCGGACCCCACTGATGGAAGCAGCTGAAAACAACCACCTGGAAACTGTGAAATACCTTATCAAGGCTGGAGCACTAGTAGATCCTAAGGTAGCACTTCATTCATCTGTTTGCCATTTCTTTTTTAAAGGTTTTAAGCTCAGGAAGTAGGGAAATGAAGGTTTGTTTGTCTTGGGTGCAGAGACTTGGACAGGCTGTCCTGGCTCTGAGCAGTCTGGGGAAGTGCAGCTGCTTACTGCATCAATTCATGGCACCAAATATAGGGGGTGTTTGATTTGATATGGGGCCTCCAAGAAGCATTGGTGTCATTGCGTTGCGTTTGGAGTTTGATTTCAGAGTTTCCTTCTCTGCAGACTCTTGGTAATGAGATTTTTGGGGCGCCATTTTAAAATGGGTTGGTAATTAGATACTTGCAAAGCCAGCAGAAGTGACATGAAGCTTTGATCTCCAAAGGTCTAATGTGCTGTCTCTTGCAGTCACGCCGCAGTGGCAGAATTGGACCCAGTCTTTAAACTCCCTACCCCTTAATTTAAACAAATACAATAAAATGCAGCTGTCTGTTTGCCTTTAGCATGCTTGGGTTGCTTTGCAGTCTTGGAAAATATACAGATCGTTTATTAGCCCCATAAATCAGACTCTATTTGGAGTACAAGAACCCTCCCCATGTGAACTTCTTATTGTTACAACCTGCTGCTTTTGGCTCACTCCTCTGCTATTGCTAGGAAGCACAGCAGGGCCAGGATGCACGTTTTGTGATGGAGCTGGCTAGGCTGGGAGGATTGCACAAGAGCTGCTGTCCACCCCAAGCCTTGGATGACTCCTTGGGAGGCTGGGAAGAGGGAAGGGTCAGGGCAGGCACATGCAAGGACAGCAGCCACTATGAACCTGCATCTTGCAGCAGTCCGGACGTCACTCACCTGATTTATTGATGTCGGAGAGAAGAGGTTTCCTGCTTCTGAAGGTAAAGGGAAGGAAAAACCCCTGAGCCAGCAAAAACAAGTTAGAAGCCTGAGATCACGTCTGAAGTCTAGACTAGTTTATTATGTTAATTAGTTTCTTGCACCAAATTAGTCATCTTCTGAAAGTAGCAACATTGCAGTTTGCAATCAGCTCCAGCCATTTCGATGAAAAATCAGACAGTTATTTGCTGGGGGTGTGCACTGAGTGCCCCCAGCCGGTGGGGGGGGGAGGGTGGGGATGAAGCCCTCAGGCTGAAGCCACCTGATCCTGTCCATAAGATGTGCAAGCCACTCAAAACTGCCCAAAAGTCTGTATTAAAATATGCCAGCTCACTGTAGGATGGAGAAGCTGCACTTAGCTTATATTAATCTGAGAGGGAGGTGTGACATTATTCAGTTGTCAGGCTCTCAAGGGAGAGTGGAAAACTCTTCTTTGCCCCTAGGAAACCGCCTTAGTACGATCCCTGATGTGAGGCTTCCCATCCCTGTGCTGTGTTCTCTTTTCAAGGGAGTGTCCTCCATCAGAAAACTCTGTAATAGGAAGGAAACATCTCTTGCTTTTCAGCCTTTCATTTCCTCCTCCTTTCCTGGTCTCCAGGCCTTGCTGTAATCTGAACTTTTGGAATAGAAGCATCTGATAAAAATCAGACTCCAGCCAAGAGTTTTGGTGTTGGTGTGGGAGTGTCTCCATCATGACTCACAGCCCCAGCCTGCCCATCGACCAGACTCTGCTCCCATAGCATTTTTTCTTTCAGCCATTGCTGTTGTTCTGTTTCCCCAGTCTGGATACATGACCGAGGGCACCCTGGGGTCTTGGTCCCTGCTGCCAGCTGCTGGGTTAAGCCTTGTGCTAATAAACACAGCAAAAAGCTGTATAAACAGAGTATTTTACATTGAAGTGCAGTGCTGTGTAAGAGATTCCTGCTTCCTCTGGGCTCTTCAACACAGGCACTGCCTGCTGGGGAAGGGGAGCACCCAGGGGCTGGGGCTGTTACCTTCCCTGTGCTTGTAAAGGTGTCTCTTCCCATAGCCTTTGCTCTCACCCTTCTGGTCTGCACTGGCTGCATGTCTGAGCTTTCTGGAAAGCTGCCCTCTGCTCTGTGCCAGTACTGATTGCTGCTGCTTTTGGAGTTCTCTGATTTGTCTGATGTTCTTCTGATGACTTCTCTGATGTTCCTCAGCATCATTGGTGGTCTGCAGACATGGGGAATGTGGGGAAGGGACGTTCCCTGAGGACTTGTTCTGTGCTTGTGTCCAGGATGCGGAGGGCTCCACGTGTCTGCACTTGGCTGCCAAGAAGGGGCACTACGACGTTGTTCAGTATCTCCTGTCCATAGGAAAGATGGATGTCAACTGCCAGGTGAGGCCTATCTGCAAGGTGCAGAAGCTGCTCTTCTCTAATGAGGACATCCCCTTCTGGCCTGCTGCAGAAACCTCCTTGCTGACCTCAGGGGAACTTCCCTTCCATGTGTCTCCATTTACAGTTTCCCCTTAGCCCTGAATTTCCAAAGGATGCCACTGTGCTCCTTCTGGCAGAAGGGTGAGATCATACACGTGCTGTGGGATAGGTCTACCCTAGCCCTGACCATCTCAGAGCTTAGGTGAGCTTTTGCAAGTGCTTTTACAGAAGCTGGGTGTTATTTGTTGTTGACAGTCAGCTGGATTTGAACACCTTAGGGACCCATCTCCAGTCTGCTTAGCTGCAAATAAACTCAAATCTGCTGGGGCAGATTGGTTCGGATCTTGCTGGGCTCTGCAGGATCCATGAGGGACTTTTCCCTGCAGCAGCATAGACTGAAACACTGCAGTGAGGCAGACGTGGGGAGGGAAGGGGTCTGTGGCTCCTAGCAAGACACATGCTGCCATGGCTTCCTAGGCTTGTGGGAGCCAGCAGGAGACCGCTGTGCCTGTTCTACTTGTCTCACCCTTTTCTTTCCTTCCCCAGGATGACGGAGGCTGGACGCCGATGATCTGGGCCACTGAGTACAAGCATATTGAGCTGGTGAAGCTACTGCTTGCAAAGGGGTCAGACATCAACATTCGAGACAATGTGAGGTTCTTCCTGGACTCTGTTTTAGAAATAATCCGCAATCTCTGTTTAGAAACCAGAAGAGCCCAAGAACAGCAACTTTGGGCTCAGTACAGGGAGGCACGGTGATCCCTATAAAGAAGTGACAGTGAATGTTGGCTGGGAAAATGTTCTTCCTTACTCTAGAAGAAGCTTTCCAGGCAAGCAAGCAGTCCTCCTCCTCCCACGTGGGCTCCCTGGGAGCTCGGTGGGCCCAGCGGCTCTGGGTGTCTTCCTGTGCCAGCTGAATTCACAGAGTTTTTCAAGTAAAAAGAGAAAATGAGAGGGAGGTGATGGGGGAGAAGAAGGGAAGCACATTCACTTCCGCTCAGGAGATTCAGTACCTCAGCAATGCTCCTTTTTTCTTAATAGAGTATTTCTGTCTTTTCCCCCTCTGCTATTGAAACCCCAGAAGTATCTGCAAGGGAAGCTTGGATGTGAAGAGCTACTCCAGGCTTGGGTCTGTAAGAGATGAGAGGTAGTTGATATCGTCTCATCTCACGCCCTAGCATACCTCATGACAATACATTTTCTTCTCCAGGGCTGCTAGTGCTTTTCTGAATCTGATGGATGTAAGCACCGTTTCGTGTTTGTCTCCCTAAATGCCTTTTCTGGTGTCTGTTGGGTGCTGGCAGGGGTAGGTGCTGGCACATTTGTCCCACGGAGCTCAGAGTGGCCCCATGTGTGAGTTGCCTTCCCCAGTCTGAAAGCCCTTAGTAGGAGCAGCCTCCGTTCCTTGGTAACTTAAACCAAGCAGTTCCCAGGCAGTTCTGGACCTGATACTCTTCATAAAAGCCAAAGTCAAAGTGGGAGGAGGGGGCTTTGGGGTTGTTGCATGACCTCAGGACCCTAGAACAGTCTGCGCTGACTCTTGTTTGAGCTGCCACAGAAGCCTTTGGCTGCCAGTTAAAAGTTCACATGTTAAATGATGAAAACCAAATTGTCTCAGTCAACAATTCACTTGGAAGAAAAATATCCCCTTAGCAGATGTATATATCACATATCTGTTACTGTACCTACAGCTCAGTGTCTCCTGATTGCAGCCATTAAGAAGTAATGTCATTTGTGCTAGGAAACATCATACTCTGTGAGAAACACTTTTGATTGTAATTATGCTCCTGCTAGGCAGTAGCCAGTGCTAAACGAAGGAGCAAATCTAGGTGTGTGTAACGTGTCTGAGCAGCATGCAGCATGCAATCAACAGCATTAATCTTTTATAGAGCAGTACATGATGCTGGTGAGGTTTTTTCCTGGATTTTACCACTGTAGGAGGCAGAAGCCATGCACAAAGAGGTCTTCCCACTCCCTGGTGCGTGCCAGCAGCTTCCTCATGTAAGAGAAGATCTAAGTTAGGTTGCAATGACTTTAAGATGCGCTTTATTTTTATTTAAAAAAAAAAATAATAAAAAAAGGTGATCATTACTGTCATTGCACTGGAACAGGCTGCCCAAGGAGGCTGTGGATGCCCCATCCCTGCAGGCATTCAAGGCCAGGCTGGATGTGGCTCTGGGCAGCCTGGGCTGTTGGTTGGTGACCTGCACACAGCAGGGAGTTGGAGCTGGATGAGCATCGTGCTCCTTTGCAACCCAGGCCATTCCATGATTGCACTGTTGTATCGGGCATCTTTAGGGCCTGTCGGGAGGAAGGACTCTAAAGTGCTGCCAGTTGCACTGTAACAGAAAACAGAGTATCATCGCTTAAAATATCTCCATCAAAGAGATGAGTGTTCAGCTATTTCTAGTGCAGCTAGTGAGAGATGAGTACATACAGTATTTAAGAGATGCCCAAAGTCAGATTGATTGCTTTCCATGTAGCTCATGGTTCTCTTTCTAGCACTTTCACATACCCTACAGCCTGCGTTCTGTTCTTGCTTGGCAGAGACTTTTTCTCTTCGATTTTGTACCTTGGGAGACATGCAAGTTTTGCTGTGTGTCTGGGTTGGGGAAGTTCAGCTTCTAGCCTTTTCCACTGTGCTTATTCATGTCTGCCACCTCTCTCGTGGATTGATCCAGATTGTTTTTGTGGCTCACAGATAGACAATTAGTCTGTGTGCAACAGAAAGGCAATGGAGCATTTTGATGCAGCCTCCCCAGTTCTGTGTGCGGAGGTGGCTGGAGCAAGAACTCCCTGCTCAGCTCTGTTGAGGTTTCCCTGCCCGCCCTGGGGCTCCCAACCAGCATGAGCAGTGTAGGGGAGGAGAAGGAAGCTAAGTGTTGAATGCCTCAGGTGTAGGGCTGAGGATGATGGAGTTCCCAAAGCAGTAGGGTTTTAATGCACTAAACAAACCTCTGCTCTGTTTTTTTCCCCTCCAGGAGGAAAATATTTGTTTGCACTGGGCTGCTTTTTCTGGCTGTGTTGACATTGCAGAGATTCTGCTGGCTGCTAAGTGTGATTTACATGCGGTGAATATTCATGGAGATTCCCCCCTGCACATTGCAGCCAGAGAGAACCGCTACGAGTGTGTTGTGTGAGTACAGCTCCAGCCCTGCTGCTGCTCTCCCTTCCCCTGGTTGCTCCTTTCTGGCTGGGTGCTGGCTGGAAGCTTGGGACAGCTTTTGAAATGCCTTTGGCATTTAAGCACAGACCAAAATTGGGATGCAGGGCTTGCTTCTCTGTTGCCCTTGCTCCTAGGCACAGCGGGTGTGAAATACTGCCTGCTGCCAGAGCTGGTGTAAAAAGGATCACAAAACGAGGGGTAGTCCTGGAGCTTTTTGTGGTGTAATAGGGTAACAAGACTTTTTTTTGTTTAGTCACTGCTAGGAATAAAGTCAGCATTTGTCCTCACCAAAAGCTGGTGAGTATAAACAAGGGCCAAGTCCAATACAAATTTCTGGTTGGACTTAACCATTTCCAGCCTACCGTTCCCACCCCTTATCTTTCCCTCCCAGAAAGAGTTTCCAGCTTGCCTGAAGTTAGGCTGGTCACCAGCAAGGCATTTGTTGGACCTGGAGCAGGGCAGGACTTGCCCAGAGCTCCAGTCTGTGGCTTCTGGCAGCACCTTCCTGTAGAAGGATTCGCTGAGCCATGCTTATAAAGAAAACTCAGGTGATTATTCACTGCTGCAGATGCTACGTTGTCCCTTAAGGGCTGGCTGGAGAATGCGATTCAACTCATTTTCCCCTTGTGCACTTTCTCTTAGGGATGCTTATCCTTTCTTACTGTTTTGCAGTCTGTTTCTTTCCCGTGGCTCGGATGTCACTTTAAAGAACAAGGAGGGTGAGACTCCGCTCCAGTGCTCCAGCCTTAACTCTCAGGTCTGGGTGGCTCTACAGATGAACAAAACACTCAGAGAATCATCGACTGAGAAGCCTGTCCAGATTGAGAAGGTAGTGAGCAGGTGAGAATCCGACTGACTTTGCTCGTGGGTCCTGAAATACAGCCCTGGCCAGGGCAAGGCAAGGAGCCTGCTTTGAGAAAGGACTGAAAGTGTGTGCTGTGCTGTGCTTTCTAAACTGTTGTGAAGGTCAGTTGGAGCTTAGCAGGACTGAAAAATCGCTGATTCAGTCCATGACTTGTAAATTCATCCTCCAAATGGAAATACTCACAAACACAAAGAATAATCTGTAAGGCAGAGTGGAAAAATATGAACTCCGTTCTAGTCTGAATTGCTCAGTGATCAAAGACACTGATTCTACCCCAGGATGGTGTTTGAATGGCCCCTTGTTTGGGGAAGCTTTTCTGCTGTGACACTTCTCTTTCTGCCTCTGACAGAGACATTGCCCGGGGCTATGAGAGGATCCCGATTCCCTGTGTCAATTCAGTGGACAGTGAGCCTTGTCCTAGCAACTACAAGTATGTCTCACAGAACTGTGTCACCTCCCCAATGGACATTGATAGAAACATCACCCATTTACAGGTGAGGGATTGTGGTTTTGTCCTGTTCTGCTGCGAGCATTTAGAGATGTTGCACTGCACCTCAGACCAGGTTTTGCATTCAGAATGGGAATGTCTCGTGTTCGTATTGAGTTCAAGCCAAGGTTGTGCTCTGAAATTCCAGAAGAAGGGATTCTTCTGTTTTTCCTTTCCCAGACTTCACCTCACCTCTGCATTCAGCTGTTACTGCAGCCTGGTGCTGCCTGGTGCAGCTCCCATTTGTTTATCCTTTTCCTCTGTTCTGGCTGTGAGAGTTAAAGAGTTGTTTGGAGACCTTCCTCATGCTGTCTTCCAAGTGACTTCAGAGCTTTCCTTGTCCTCAGGTGTGGAGCTCATAGGGCACAGAGGAAGGTTAGTAATGTGGGGAGAGGGTGAAGGTGACTCATGGCGGGATCCTGTTCTGCAGGCTGGACTCCTTTGCCATCCATTATGCGTAGAATTGAAGAACTGAGTAAACAGGACACTGAACTGATGAGTCTGGTTATCTTTTTGGCTAATGAGCTGCAGCAGTGGCCTCTTTTGGGAAAGTTTGGAAGGCACTCCAGCAGCGGGCAGGAGAAAGTGAAGACTTGTGGTTTTGCTCGCTGGCCCACTTAGAGAAGTTGCTCTTTCACTTGTGCTGGAGTGGCTTGGAGCTGATCCCTTCTGCTTCTCTTTCAGTATTGCGTGTGTATAGACGACTGCTCCTCCAGTAACTGCATGTGTGGCCAACTCAGTATGCGCTGCTGGTATGATAAGGTGAGGATGCACAGCTTCATGTTTGGTTGGCAAACAGAATATTGCAAAATTCAGGATTTCTAATAGGACCTAAAGGCAAATTCCTTGCACAGCTCCTCTGCTTTTTGTCTTAAAATGCCTGGAGTTGCAGTCTCAGCTTTGAGGTGTATGTGATAATAACAAAATGTATACTCAGGGAAGCTTTTCCAGTGTTATTTGTTTGTGTTGCTGTCATGCCAGCTGAGCCATTAATTATACCCATGTGATAGAGAGCATTTAATAACCCATGCGTGAAATCAGCTTCCATTTCAGAAAGACATAGAAAATGCTGTAATATATAAACAGGGGGAGGGTAGAAGAGAGATTTTGGCCTACCTGTACTTATCAGGATCCTTCTGGATGAATGCAAAGTAAATATGTTTTAACTACATCACTGCCAGAAGCCCAGTTTGGTTTGGGTAAGTGTGCTTCAGTCCGCCTGGGAGGTTTTGAGGTTAATATTTAGACAGGTTCTGCTAAGATCAGAAGTTCTCTTAATCTCTGTAAGTTTCTCCCAGGGGGAGTATTGGCATCTTTCTTTGCTTTGTAGGCATTTTATTTACACATTAATAGGTGATTATATCTTTAAAGCCATAAAAGCCATATTTGTTTAGTGTGATGAACTGCCTCTATCACTTACTTAATCCTATATGGTTGGTAGATAATTGAATTGTAGCTTTTTTGGGAGAGTTATTTGGGAAGATAATGTGATTTACAGAACTTGGACGTGCTGGCCTTGTAACGTGGAAGTTTAGGCTTTATTCCAGAGATAGACAAAGCATATGCTTCTCCCCTCCAGCACTATGAAAAGATGATAATGATGATGCACACCATTTTTTGCACAGCACTGTGAGATACTTTTGATGATGGTGCATAGGGTGATGCCAGGCAGCAAAAACCTGAATGGTTTCTTGCTGTTTGTCAGCTGTTTTTGACAGTGGCTTGCGTGCTGCTGCTAGGGCAGAACGAAGCCTTGCAGAAGTTGAGTTGTGAGGTTGTTTTGGGGCATGCCTCTGCAATAGGGGTCTTCTCACCCGTTTTGCATTTGGGAAAGTTTACAAGAAGAGAAAACTAACTCTGTCTTGCATGCATCTCCTCTTCAGGACGGCCGACTCCTGCCTGAGTTCAACATGGCTGAGCCCCCGCTCATCTTTGAGTGCAATCATGCCTGCTCGTGCTGGCGGACCTGTAGGAACCGGGTGGTGCAGAATGGGCTCAGGTGAGAAGCCACACACAGCCTGCTGTGGGACAAAGCACAGAGCCTCAGCTCTGCCTGCAGACACACAAAGTGCAGAACTTGCAGAGGTGGAGCAGAGCTGGGCAGGTGCCACCACTCAGCAGTGAGAGGCAGAGGAGTTTCCTCTGTGTGCTGCAGGTGGGGATGAACAGCAGTAGGCAATGAGCTCAGCTGGGATCTGTGCCATGCTGCTGACCCCGGTGCATGGGAGAATTGTGCTGGTCTTTCTCAGCTGGACCACAGAGTGTACAAAGGGTGTTGGGTTTGCACTCAAGGGCAGCTTTGGGTGTAACTTGTCAGGTAGAGAGCTGTGAGAGACATAAGAGCAACAAAAAATGCAGAGCCTCAGTTTAGAAGCTGTCATAAGATAGCAGTTGATTTTAGAAATACAGGCTGGCAGGCAAAGAATTGGTTGCTTGAAGTTTCCCACTTATTGGTCTGACTCTCTCTGAGTTGGATACCTGTTGGCTTCAGAGGTGTTGCTGATTAGGCTCTGTTCATTTTGCTGCCAGACAGTAATGAAAATGTTTTGTATTGCACCTTTGCTTCAGAGAAGTTTGCCAATGCACTGAATGCATCAGGACAAACTTCTAAGGAATCCTCCTGGAAAAAAAAGACTTTTGCAAATCTTTCATGGTACTGACAACACATTTTTTTTTGTGGGCTTTACATTTCCAAGGACGTTTTGCAACTTCAAAAATAAGAAAGGGCTGGATGTGTTTCCACAGAACTTCAGCCCTGTAGTTTTTCTTATCCAAACTGCACAGCTTCAGTGTCTGTATGAGTGTTTATTCAGGAGCCATGCAGTTAGATCTGATGCTTCTGTTTTTTTGTCAGCTCAAGTGTTCTCTTGGTGTCTTGTTCAGCTCTGGTTCAGGCTCCTGGAGCTGTGAACAAATAGGAGTAAACCATCAGCCCTGGAGAGGAAGCATGGTTTGAGCTGATGGTGCAAAGAGGGAATGGGTGGGGGGAAGAGGAGAGAAATACTGGAAAAACCAACAGGGTGAAGTTAAGGTGAGCATCAGATTTCTCTTTATTCCGATAACAGCATTGCTGAGAGGGGGGGTTGCTTCCCATGGGGAAAGAGAGAACATTCCCTAGTGGAGATGGTTCATCCTGCACTTAACTCAAGTTCTGGCTGAGCAGGAGACAGAATGACTTACGGGATTGTTTCTCTGCCTATAAACTCCATCAGTAAAATTCCACGGAGCAGCTATTACACCAAGAAGTTTCAGGTTGCAGCGTTTCTTCCTTACATTTCCTCCAGGGATTTGGATACGATGGAGCTGCGAAATGCACTGGCCTCAGCAGAGGGCAAAGGGATCAGAGCACTTAGCTCAAGGTGTTCTTAATTCAGTGTAAGCTCCCTGCCTCCCCCTGCAGCACCGCTCCCTTTGGAGCCTGAAGTCCCTTTCCACCTTCCCCTGAGAGCTGGGCACGTGTGTGAAAGAGAAAGAAATGTTGGAGGTGGGATTTTGGTATCCTGTGTGTGAATCATCAGCTGTGCATCAGCATGGAGCGTCTGCTGCCATGCCCTCTTCCCCAGTCCTTAACGTGTGCAAGGCACCAAGCATGCACCTCACCAGCTGCAGCTGGGCAGGGAGAGGCAGTGCCATCCCGGTGCGTGGAGCACACGTACAGTGGCACCAGACTGAGAACAGGGGGTTTGAACGCTGAAATATTCTCTTTGAGTTTGTGCTGATTGGAGGTTGCAGGGTTGTTTGGTTGGTTGTTTTTTTTTTTTGCTCTTTCCCCTGCTGCCTTTCTGCTCAGTGCTGCTATTGATGTGGCTTCGTTTTCTCTTTCCAGGACTCGATTGCAGCTCTATCGGACGCAAAAGATGGGCTGGGGTGTGCGAACGATGCAAGACATTCCACTGGGAACCTTTGTGTGCGAGTAAGTTATTCCTTCAGCTTTCATTAGCTCACACAAATGCAGCACTTCCCAAGGGCTGGCATGCTCAGCACATGATTTCTTGCAAATCAAATTGGCACAGAGCAGAGCAGCTCACCTCACTGCGAGGCTTCCTGATCCCATTTCCTGCTCTGCTCGTCCTTTCCTCGTGGCGTGGAGTTTTCTCCACCCCTCTCCACCTCGCTGCAGTCTGTGGTCAGCTTGTGGTTCTGGGCTCTGCTGCCCCTGTGACGCATGAGCAGTGAGGAATGAGACAGATCTGGGTTGTGCTGCAAATGCATCATGTGTTCACTGTGTGCAAGACCTTTAAGGCTGAGGGAATTTGGAACAACTGTTTCATATAGGGTTGTTTTCTGCTTCAAGACTGGCTTTTCCCAAGAGGTTCCCTGGTGTCACAGCTCTGCCTTTAGTCTGATTCATCAAAACAGTAAAGCATTTGGCATTAAGCACAAATTTAGGCCCTGGTTCAATAAAGTACTTAGGAACGAAAATATTAAGATTTATATCAGGTTGAAAAAACTGCTGCTGAACCACGTGGTTTTAAGGCTTTAAAGTGGTTGATGTTGTTCAGTAAGCAGTTGGGAAAGTGTTTTCTTCATTGTGGTACTAATGAGCTAAGATGTTCTAAATAAGACAGGACTATTGCCCTTCATGAAAATACGTGCTGGGGTTTTATGGAGCGGATTATTGATGTTGTATGGAGTCAGGCAGCAGGAGACTGGTGTAGCATATTGCAGTATTTAAACAAAGAAAGGGAAATAAAAATGTTTCATCCAGGCAGAGTCACGGGGGAGTGTCTCACGTGTGTCCTCAGGTGGGACTTCCTGATGGGTCCTGAAGGCTGCTGTGTCCTGGTTAAGTGCCCAGAGATGATCCTGAGCCTGTAGGCAAACTGCTCCTAAAGAAAACAGCACCAGCTTTACCATGTCCTGCTGGAATGTAAACACTAGAGAGGGATAAGTGGTGATAAACTGGCAGCCCAGGGAGACTGGGCAGCTCTGTGCAGTGGGTGACCAGCACAGATGGGTGTGTTGGAGAGTCAGAGCTGATGAGGTTCAGATGCCACAGCTGCCCTTAACTCTTCCTCCACGCTTGCCAGGAGCTGCTGAGGCAGTTTCAGAGGTGGGCACCATCTTCATTATCTAAATGAGCTGCATGCTAAGCAGCTGAATTCATTTTTGTCTTGCCCATGCAGGCTCCTCCTTGCCCCCATCCCTCTCACTCACATTATTCGCTCAGCTCACCAACCCCAGCCTTTCTCTTCTTCAAGCCAGCTGTGCTATTTCTCTGTAATACTGCATGTGTGCAGCCTTTGTTCCTCCTTTTCCTCACCTCTGGCAAAGAAGGCCTGGTGCTGTGGGGCTGCTTACCCACACCAGTTCCCAGGATCAGCACTTGGAGAAGAGTGTTTTGCATTGACCACGCAGGGCAGTGCCCTGACCAGGCAGTCCCTTTGTGCTGGGGTTATTCCTCTGCTTTGAAAGGGTGATAATTGTGTTGGTCTAAGTATGGTACTGTGGGTATGGGCTTTGAATGAGTTGGAGGCAGAAACCAGAGGTTTTGTGACACTTTGGTCTGTTCCTTTTGGTATGAGCACATTTTGTAGCTTCCAGATGTTTAATTCCTGTACAAAACAGCTCCAGCAAGGTACCATCTGAACCAAGGCAGATATTTCAGCCACCCCTTCAGCCAGAGACATCTGGGGCATCCCACCCCATCCCCCACACCCCGTGGAAACAGACACAGCCTGTGCTGGGGATGTATCATTGCTCCTGGTTTTTGCATGGAATATGCTCTGATCTCACAGTGATGAGTAGCAACGTGAAGTTACTGCCTCCAGTGCGCTCAGCATCTTGCTGGGAAGAAGGACATTGCCTTAACTTCCATGAAGGATGCTCCGACTCTTCCTGGAGTAGGAAGTTGTGCTCCTTGTGCATCTTTCTGTAACTTTGGACCTGGTAAATTATGGAAAAGTTTGTGTTGGTAACAGTACTGAAAAAGAAAGGAGTTGCAGGAATGGTCTTTAAAGGAACATGGAAACAACAGTTTTTAATTAGACTGTGGGATTTTTTGCTCCACTAAATGGTGACCCTGAAGTGGCACTCGCTGAGCAGTGTCTCTCTGTGCAGCATTATTCAGCTGTTTCCAAGCTGCTGCTGGCTACTGTGCCACGCTACAGCAATTTCTCTGCCTCTGGCCACAATCTTCTTATTGCTTTAGGTCACCAGTGAGCGTGTGGTTTCCAGTAATGCTGCAGCCTTGTGGGAGCTCTTAATAAATAACAAGATGCAGTGGGGGCAAACAGCAGCATCGCACACGGCCACAGCAGCCTCCTGGCCTAGCAGAACAGCTCTGCCAGATTGCTTAGATTTGGGAACTGCAGCCAAACGATCCCTGGTCACAGAGTGCGTGGGTCTGCTCCAGGTTAATGTTTCGTGGCTCTCCTTCCTGAGCCCTGAAGTTAAATGCTGCCTCGGGCCAAAAGGGAATGTGTACGGTTGGTTAATGCTTCTAAAATGCTTCCGAAAGCTGAAGGGGAATTGCTGGTGTGGTGGCTGCAGATCGTGGGAGCATCTGTTGGTGTTATGAAGGATATTTGTTTTGTGAGTCCTTTGCTTATAATTCATTAGTGCTGTGTCAAAGGCTGCGGAGAGCTGGGTACCAGAATCTGCTGTGCTACAGCTTCTTTCTTCTATTCCACCCTCTGGCTCAGTTCATCTCCTCTTGTGTGTCTTTGTTTTGATTGCAGGCTGCTCAGTTCAGGAAGTGTTGTAGGTTGACAGCCTAGAACCGTGTAAGCTGGAGACAGGAGGCAGATGTGGGAATGCAGGTGCAGCAGAGACTCCTGTAACTTGAGTCATCAAACCCAACATCTGGAGCGTCAGAAGTGGTGCCTGTGTTTGGTCCTGCTCAGCAAACCAGACCACAGAGCACACATTCAGTGGGAGGGCCTGATTGCAATCTGCCCTGCACCTGTTTTGACACCAGTGTAATTGTTGCTCAGACCACAGCTCTGATATGGTCTGGCTTGAGGAGGATCAGGAAGAAGCCTACATCCTTCCAGGCTTTCTGACAGGTTTAACTAGACCTGGGACTTTTACAACAGCACTTTTTCAGGTGTACAGCATACGTAATCAGTTCAAATGTTGGAAGAATGGGAAACAAACATTTTACAATGGAATGTAAACAGCACAGACATGACAGTGCTGTACAGGAGGTGAGTCCAACGGTGGACATGAGGAGAGTTGGATTAATGTATTGATCTTGGCCAACAAAGAGGATTGCGAAAGGAAAGAGTGAATTCTGTTGAAAATAAAGCTCCATTTTTAATATTAAAAGTGTTGCCCTGAAAAGACTGAGCTTGGAGCCAGATTTTAGCTGCTCTGAGTTGGCAAAGCTGTGTTTGCCCATGCGGGTCTGAAATGACCTGCACTGCTGAGGCTATGATTGTGATGGTGGCTGCATCCCTTCCTTCCCCTCTTACTGGAAGGGGGTGTTAAACCCAAGCTGGTGGTTGCACAAGCATCTTATTTCTGCCTTTCCTGTTTGCCTGCAGGTATGTTGGTGAGCTGATATCTGACTCCGAGGCAGACGTCCGTGAAGAGGACTCCTACCTCTTCGACCTTGACAACAAGGTACTGACTGTATCCAGGGAGGTGAACCCAAGGTCTTGTTTCTCCAAAGGAGCACGGAGAGCATTTCTCTATATCTTGATGTACAGCGTGCTCTGAAAGCTTGGAAGCAGAGCTGCTTTCTCACTGGGTTTTGTTAGAAAAGTAAGGTTGTGGAGATGAGACTTTAGGGCTTGTTAGAATGGTAACAGAGCCCAGCTGGGCCACAGCGTTACGAGCTGCCCACAGCAGGCTCAGGGCAAGGAGCTTCCCTATTAAAAATGCTCAAACATCCTGAGTTCAGGTGTTCAGCTGTTGATATTCAGGTGTGTATACAGCAGTGTGCAGGCTTGTGGTGGTGTTGATTGGCAGCTCTGTAAGCTCTTCATAAAAAGATGTTGATGCATGAGCTGCAAAGCTGAAAGAGATGCTGCTCCCTTACAAAGGGATCCAGCAGACACCCTAGCAGGGTCTTGAGGCTTCTGCTGCTGTTGGTTGTCCTCTGCTGCTCTGCAGAGGGCTGTCTCAGTGCAGAAATCTTGCTTTGAAAAGTGTGATCTGAAGCATCTGAGCGTCACTTCAGACTTTCCTTGGGAAGGGAGGAGAAAGTTGAGCTGGGGAATCAGAGCAGTGGGACGCCTTCCAAGGGAAGTTGTAAAGCGGTCTTTGTCTTGTGCCTGCCATCAGCTTGTCACAAAGAAGCTTTGCTTTGTTATTACAATTTTTCTTCTTAAGTGACAGACATTAAAGTTGAAAAAAGATAAGTAGTGAGCCTTGTAGCAGGTCTGAAAACAGGGGTCAGACTGTAACTAGAGGTTAAAGAGCAGCAGGGACTTCAAGCTGGCTTTTGCATTTATGAACAAGAGACTGCCTGGGTCTTGCTTGGCCTTCAGGTTAACCCCTGGCTGGCTGCTTTCAGGTAGAACATCTGGATTTTGCACAGGAACAAGCACACAGTCTTTCATCAGTGCACCTTCAGAGTGGAGCATCTGTGCAACAGGCAGCGAGTCGCTCAGGGGTCCTTCAGAGAAACCCAAGGCTGTGCTGAAGGCAGGCAGAGCCCAGTGGGTCCCCTCACATCCCCAGCACTGGGAAAATATCATGGGTGGGGAGCATTAGGGCTCTGCTGTGTCCTGAAGGAGTGGCCTGGATGCAGCTTGTGCTGAAGCACAGATGTTGGGGACGTCATTTCTGATGTCTTTGTTCCTTGAGCTGTCACTGGGGGCCATGTGTGTGGTGAATCACTCAACGTGCCAGGTCTTGCAGTCACATCCCTTCCTGTGTCTGAAAGAGGGCAAACATCGAGCAGTCAGAAGTCAGGGCCTGTTCTGGGCTTTCAGGGAAGAATACATAGCACAGTAGACACCTTCTGGGTTTCCACAGGTTAAAGGGATTATTTTTTATTTTTATTTTTCTCTCTGTACTAGAGAGCCAGAAAAAAACACACTATTTCTGATAGATGGGAGGATGAGTTTTATCTGGTGTGCTTGCTTTCTATTGGTGTTAAGCTCCCCTTCCCACATGTGGTCCTAAGCCTGACTGGGAACCATTGGCATCGCAGCTGCTGAGCATTGAAAGCCATTTGAAATAAATGTTCTTCACAGAATCCTTAAGATTGGCAGAGACCTTTATGATCATTAATCCAGTGGTCAGCTCATCACCACCATGCCCACCAAAATGCATCCCTAAGTGCCAGATCCTAAGGTCCTTTTTAAGCACTGAAGATCTTAGGTGTAAGAAGTGATGCAGATGTCTGCAGAGTCCATCCGTGTGCATCCTCTTACCCCATTCTGCTCTTCCTCTCTGTTTGCCTCTGACATTCCTGAAGCTCTTGCAGCGAGGTGAGAAGCACTTTGCTCTGGGACTTGTCCTCATTGGCCGTGGGAATGCTGCCTGCTTTCTCAAGGAGAGCATCTTGGTTTGTATGGTGAAGAGCTCAGATCTTCCCAGCTGCTCATTGGGGTGGCTGATGCTGTCCTTACAGAAGGTGGCATTTCCACAGGTGAAGAAGGGATGAGACTTAAATGCGATTGAAATCAGAGCTCGCAGCACTCTGTGTGGCGTGGGGCTGTGAGGGTGATGCCTCCCCAATCACTGGGACATCTTCCCTGGGCTCCTGCACCATCTGGGCAGTGTGATCTGACCCAGCTCATCCATTAAAGATTGCAAGGTGCTTGCCCAAAAGGGAGTTTGAGCGCAGCTAATGGATCCTTTTGCTTTTGGCCTCTTTGCAACAGAAATTAGCTTCTGTAATTAAAGTCTCTGCTTTGCACAGTCATTCTGTACTGGAATAAAAAAGCCCTGAGGGGGGTTCTTGTATTTTCAAGGAAAACAAAGTATGACTGCTGTCTGGGCTCTCTGGAAAGGGAATTTCTGTGTTCTCACTTTGACTTTTATCTGCAAAAAACCTGTTTTCTCTAGGCTCTGGCTTAGTGTTTTCCTGGCTGTCATGTTCAATTAGAGGACAGAACGGACTCCTGTTCCCCTGTCCAGTGGCTTTTACCCATAAGGTATTGAACGTAAATCCAGCTGCACCAAACCAGTGCTTCAGCAGAGCAGATCTGGGGAGAGCTGTTGTGCCAGCCAATGTCAAGAGCATTTTTGAAAGGTCTTTGGGCTCACAGGGGCAGAGTGTTCCACGGGAAACTATTTTCGGGGCTGTGTTGAATGTAGAAGTATGTGTTTAGTCCTTTTAAAGCCTTCCCTGGCCACTCTTCTTTTTGAGGATCTCCAGAGTGTTAGCACAAGGGCTGCTAGCTCGCTCACTGCCTTTTTTAAAAAGCAAACAAACAAACAAGTAGCAGTAATAACTCTAGAACCAATCCCATCTAATGAAACACGCAACATTTCTCCCTCTAGGATGGAGAGGTGTACTGCATAGATGCCCGTTTCTATGGCAACATCAGCCGCTTTATAAACCACCTCTGTGAGCCAAACCTCATCCCCGTGCGAGTCTTCATGTCTCACCAGGACCTCCGCTTTCCCAGGATCGCCTTCTTCAGCACGAGGCACATAGAGGCTGGAGAAGAAATTGGGTAGGTACCGAGCTGGGCTGGCTGCCTGCACCTTGCCTGGGCAGGACTGAGTGCTGCAAACCTTCCCATGCCCTGTCCTGCCTTCTGAGCAGCGAGCTTTTCCTCCAGAGCTTCAGTGCTTGATGTCGCTGATTTTGTATTTTCCTGTTTCTTCTTCTTTCGTTTGGTGACGTCTGTAACTCAGCCTCCCTTTTCCCCCTAAACTTTTTCTTGCTGTGGGCTTGCCGTGGATAGCCGCTGAAGCAGCCAGAAATTGGGAAATCACAAAAAAAAAGCCCAAAACAACAAAATTCCATGAACCCAAAAGCCGGCAAGCAGTGACAGAGTTGTTCAGCACAGCCCTCATCTCCACTGTGAGCGCTGGGAGGTGTGAGACCTTCCAGGTATGAAGCAGAAGGCCCCATCTGTGCCCCATGGGCAGGGCTGGCACGTGGTGGGGCTGTGCCAGACCCTCCTACTATCTCCTGTTCTCCATGCATGGTTGTGTTAGATTAGCACTGGTAGACCAGGACTTGTCCAAAGCACGTACTTCAAGTTGGTGCTCAGGATTTGGGATTCATGTCTTGAGTTCTTCCCCAGTAGACCAGTGCCAGGTGGCCCCATGTCAGGATGCTGGTTTGGGGCAGCCTTTGGGGTTCGGGGTGCTGGGAGGAACCTCAGTGGCAGCAGCAGCCCCATCCCCTGGTGACTGCTTGGCTGACTGGGGTCAGCTCAGCTGGGGGCTCTGCTCCCCTCTGTGGCTTTCTGGTCCTCACTGTAGGAATTTCTCTGGATTTTTTTGCAAGCTCGTTGTGCTCAGCTCTGTGCTGGGGGCAGATCCTGGATGGTTTTATCCAGCAGTGGACTGAAACAGAAAACAAAACTTTCCAAATGCATTTGGTCCAGGGTAGACTTCTAAGTGCTGAGGTCCTACAGCTAGCTGGAGGCTGAAGTGCTGTAGGCATCTTAATTGTCACCTCTCAAACCCCTTCCTCTGCAGAGAGGCAAGAGCTCTGCTGCCCCCAGGTTTGCCGTGTCCCATTGCTTGCCAAGCCATGTCCCCAGTGTACTCCATGTGCTGATGCTGCGTTGCCTCAGGTGCTGCCAACCTCGGCTTCTCGCTCCCGAGCGTTCCTTCGTCACGGTGACCCCGTTTCCATTTCTTTCTTCCAGCTTTGACTACGGCGACAGGTTCTGGGACATCAAAGGCAAGTTCTTCAGCTGTCAGTGCGGTTCACCCAAGTGCAAACACTCGAGCTCAGCGCTGGCCCAGAGGCAGGCGAGCACCTCGTCCCAGGACACGCAGGAAAACGGGCTCCCCGACACCAGCTCTGCCACAGCAGCCGGCCCCTTTTGAGGCTCCGCTCCTCAGAGACTGACTCGTTTTAACCCTATAGATTCACATACTGTCTGAATTTTCCATTTAAAGAGAGAAAACCCGCTCGAGGAAAGCCAGGGCTTCGTGACACTTAGGGCTGTGCCACCGACTGTTACTTGAGGAATAAGTGAAAGCAAATCTCACCTCTGTGGTGTTGTTCTCCCCTCCTGGTCCTGGAAAGCTGCTGGTTCTTACCGTGCCGAGGGGTGGCTGTTGCATTTTTTTCCACGCGAGCTGTCCTGGCCTCCATCTCTTAATGTTCTTAAGTGTTGTCAGAGCCCAGGGAGAGCCGCCCGTCCTCTGAACGTTGTTAATTGAATGGATCGCTCATGCCAAGTCATCTCCAGTTCACTTGTAATAAACTTTGAGTACTTGATGGGACTTTGTTTCTAGAGGCCGGGGGGAGCAGGGCGGGAGGGAGGCGCTGGCCAGGCTCTGCTGGTTGGTTTCATTGCTCAGTTTGGTTGAATTCCTCCCTCATCTCGCAGGACGTCGCGGTGGGGCCTCTCATAGAATCGTTTGAGTTGGAAGGGACCCTTAAAGGTCATCTGGTCCAACTCCCGCTTGCCCTCCGCGTTTCTAACCAATGCCTCCTCGTCACCCGTTGGCTTTTTACTCTTCCAATGACAAGAAATCCACCACGCTTGACCCCTTTGGTCCCTGAGCCAACCAGAGACGCTTCCCCAAACCCCTCTGCGAAGCCCTCCGGCTCCAACCAGCTCCCGGCCACGCGGCGGATCCAGCATTTGCTTCACCAATGGAAGGATCTCCCTCTCCTGCGGTGGCTGTAGAGAGGGAGCGTCAAAGGGGATTTGTGCGAGACACTAACTGCTAAAGGAAATCACTTTTTCTAATGCTAAAACGGATGAGAGATGCGTTGCAGAGACCCCCTGGGCGAGCAGCAGAGGGGCCGCGTTGCAGAGAAGGACCCCGATGCCACCAGCTCGTCTGCTCCCATCAGAGTGCTCAACGCCGGGCACCTTCGGTTCGTTTTTAAGCCACACGTTATGAGGTTTCAATAAACTGATTTATTTTTTACCATTACCGAAACATTGGGGAGTAGCGTTAAAAAAAAAAAAAAAAGAAAAAAAAGAAAAAAAAAAAAAGAAAAAAAAAAGGGCCGCGGGAAAAAAACATGAAAAAAAAAAGCATTAAAAAAAAAAACCAACAACCCCCCCCCAACACACAGAAAAAAACCCGACGACAAAAAGAAAAAACCACAAAACAAAAAAAACGGTGCTGATTCTGGTGTGATTTTTTGCTCACCACGTGAATATAAACTATCAATTGTATAAAAAAGAACAAAGTGATTTTAGTATAAAATGCAGGAAAAAAAAAAACACAAAACCTTTTTTAAATTGTTAGTATTGTAGTGTGAATAAATTTGCCATCACCTTTTGTGTGGTGGCTGGGCAGGTCATTATCTTAATTTCTTTTTTTTTTTTTTTGCATATATCTTAATACTGTAATTAGTGCAGTTACAGGTTGGTTTTTTTTGGTTCTTTTTTTTGTTCATCTCTTCTAGAACATTCATAATGCCGTCATGTTTATTATTATTATATTTTTTTTTTCTGTTCATGTTTTTTGACAGTTTTAAAGATGCAGCCTTTTGGCTCTGATCATTTTCTTGTTCTGTTTTCAATGAAATCAATAAAAAAGAAAGAAAAAAAAAAGTAAAAAAAAAAGAAAAAAGTGCTTTAAAATGAGTTTGGCCTCTGCTTGCCCTCTGCGCCGCATTCCTCGTCCTCGTCGTTGAGAGCGAAATGAAGAAGGTGAGCAGTAAGACCTGGGGTGCTTTCAAGCCAATGCAAAGATGCCCAACCGTCTGGTTTGGGATTTGCTTGTCCCAAATCTCCTGCATGGAGGCGATTTCCCATCCCAAAGGGCTGCCAGTGGGGCTGGATGTTCCCTGCCCCAGCCGTGGGGCTGCTGGGCTGCAGTCTGTGCCTCCCTCTGCTTCTGAATCATAGAATCCTGGAGTCCTTGGAGTCCAAAGGAACTCTGAAGGGAGCTCTGAGGGCCACCCAGTGCAACTCCCCCGCGATGCACAGGGACACCGCAGCTCCATCAGGTTGCCCAGAACCTGATCCAGCCTCGCCTTGGAAGTCTTCAGGGATGGGGCATCAACTTCTGGAGTAAATTTGGGGGCCTTGGACACCTTGGTGGCCAGTTTGGTCATTGCCAGTCGCAGGGGGAAATCGCCTGGCTTCTGTGCTGCCTCTCAGAGCTGGGTTTGCTCCCAGCACGTGGCTTTGCCAAGCATGTTGGGGCAGTGATGTCCAGGCACTGAGCAGCAGCATTTGGAGCTGTCAGGGGGTTCAGGTGTGCCCTGAGGGTTCCTCATGGATGTCCCTTGCACCCGTGTCCCATCAACAGCCCTTCATGCACTGTGCACCAGGAGAGGGAGCTCCCACTGCTCTTTTCCCAGTTCTGCATTAAAGTTTTGGGGACGTCTTCAACAGCTCCACCCCACCTCACCTCACCTCACCCCATCCCTCATTGCATTGCCGTTCTCCTTGTTTCTCTGTCTGCTCTGCTTGAGGGCAGTTGGGCACTAATCCTCATCAGCTGCAAGATTTGCTTGCCAAGAAATCCCACTTCTGCTGTTGGGATTGCAAGGGCTGCAGTGAGAGTGCTGGGTGGAACCCTGGGACCCCAGTGTGCCGTGGCACGGAAGGTCGTTCAACTACAGCCCAGTGTTGTGCAATGAAGCATCAGAATTAAAATAATGCACTTCAACTGAAGGGGAGAAGTGGAAAAACAGCAGGAATTCCCAGTTCTGAATGGAACTACCCCTGCACCACTACCTCCATGGGTAGGTTCTCTTTGGGGTTAGTAGTCCAGTTGTGTTCACTGTGTTGAACTGTCACCGTTACGGATGTATGTTTTTGCCATGCACTTTCAGTCCAGTGCTGTTCAATGAGCTCCCACAGCCACAGGTGAGAATTCTGGCTGTGTTCAGTGAGATCTCACAGCCAGCTTAACAAATAGTGTGGTTTATGGAAGCATCAGATGCACGGATTTTTTGGGTTGCCAGTGATACATTTCCCATCTGCAAAGCACGTGCACACACAAAGAATGAGAATAATGCAGCCTGGCCACAAGAGGTTACAGAACAACTCCACAGAGATCTCCAAGCTCCCTGTGGAAATGCTCCTACAGCTGAGTGTTGGAATCTCGCCCAAGGCATCAGTCCATGTGGGAGGGAACAGGGGCTCAGCCACCAGTGGATCCCAGGAATCAGAGGTGATCTGAAATCTGATGGTATCTTCCCCAACATCCCCCTCTCTTGAGCTGTTTTTGTATGATTTCTCATTTTCAGGTCACACACCTTTGCTCTGAGGGTTGTGAAGTTCTGTCCCTTTGCTGCTGAAGGAATAGACCTGAAGAAGGCAGGGCGCAGGCTCAGCTGCACCTTGCCTACAGGCAGCTTTCAGGATGGAGGTGTGTTCTGGTATTATTACGAGATTATAATGAGCAAAGTTCACCCAAAGGATGGCTGTCCAAAAACGACAGTCTGCTGGCTCAGGTAGAAAATACACAGCTCATCAGCCCCATAATCCCACGTTCCCATGGTGGTGGTGATGTCCTCACTCCATTCCACTCTCGGTGCCATTTTCCTTCCATCCATCACACCAAGCTGCCCTCCTGTTGCCCACACCTCAGCTTGCCCACGGATCTCCTGCACAACAGACTCCTTGCACACTGCCTGCGCTCTGCTTTTGCCTCTTTCCTTACCACGTGAACAATGCTTATGTTAAGTTTAATTCCAAGTCACCTCTAGCAATTATCCCACAGGGGCTGATCCAGTTGTGGGAATGCTTTATCCAAAGGGGTGCAACCGCTGTCATGTTATATCTTGCTTGCAGCCCCAAGTTTTGGAGTGAAGCAATGGCTCCTCATGTTCTGTGGGTATGAAGCCTTTGCTGCACATGCCCTGGGCTGCCCGAGGATGTGTTTGCAGCTCTGATTTGATTCTGTTTGAGAGTAGGATTTCTTTTCTTTTAATGTGGTGAGAGCATCTGATTCAGGCTTCGCTCTCAGGCTGCTGTGTGTAGCTTTGCTCGTGGCAGCTGCTGGCACAGGAGGATTGCTTTTCCTATTCACCCTCTGCTGATGCTCTCCTCGGCTCCACTTACTACACAAAGAAATCTCCAATAATTCATTTGCCTTCATTTTGGCACCTGCCTGCAGTGCTTCAGGGCATCCCCAGGGCCACACAGCTGCCCCAGCACTGGACGATGAATTTTTGTACTGAGCTCAGGTGGGAAGGGGGACACAAATCCACCTATGGGGAGGGACATGGAGGGGTTGTGCAACCCAAAGCATTGCACAGCATCCCATGGCATCCTGATGCTCCTGGAATCTGTAGGATCACCCCAATAGCCCAGGGTTGCAGCAGGTAGGAGCTATCGATACAGCTGTGTGACTTCACCCCACCCCTCATTTCTGAGCCTGTGCCAGAGCTGTAAGCAATATCCCTTTACTTCACAGATAGCACAGAATATTCCCTCAGCTGCCAAAAGTGTTCTGTTATCGCTCTGCTCATTTCCTCCCCAGCACGCAGGCAGGGTGAGGGGCTGCTGCTGGTGGGGAAGAGCTCAACCACCCAGAGGCTGAAGGCAGTGGACACAGGGGCTGCAGGTCCAGCCCTCCCAGCACCCAGAGACAGCAGATACTGGTGAATGCCATGTGGTCATGCCACGTCTGCTCTTAAAGCAGGGATGTGGAAGGGATCCTGTTGGAAGGGGTTTCCGATGGGAGGGATTTCTGATGGAAGGTATCTCCATGGAAGGGGGCCCCCAGCAGTGAGGAAATGCTCCTGTACCCAGAAAGTTTGTATTTGTGATGAATAAATAACCCCCAGCTCATCTGGAATGAATGGGGAGGTGGAAGGAAGGGACTGTTGGCAACAAGTGGCCCAACCACATTTACACCCCAATCTCTATCAGCTCAGTGCCAGCAGAGCTGCCAGAACATTTGGGGCTTTTTAGGTCACAGTTCACCACCCTGGAGGTCTTTAAGCTTCTATTGTCCCTAGGAGGAAGGTGCTGGCTTTGACAGTTGCCCCTTCTCAGGAATGCAGGGATCAGGGTGTTTATGCCTTAAGGCAGACAAATGCCATCACTGAGCCTTTGCAGCCTGGTGTTGGGCTGGGATTCAACTCATCCTTACAGCTGGGATTAAAGTCATCCTTACAGCAAACCTCCCCAGCTGACCAGCTAGGGGCAGGGCATCAGCAAAGTAAGCCAAGAGTTTGTTTAAATCCTTGGAGCTCTGCTATCTAACAGGAATGACAGGAGATTACATTATGCAGAGGGCTGGCTATTTTAAGAGGGAGCCACTTGCCAACTTTCCTGGTTGCAGAAGTCTTTAATACTGCTGCTGGAATAGAAAGCTTTTGGACACATGTGGATCTCATGCACCCAGCTGACCACCAAGGATGGTGGCATCCCAGCAGGAATGCAATAGTGATGGGGGGTAAATGCTAAAACATTTCTGTGCAGCTCACCTGTAGATAAGAATTACACTGGGGGCTTTGTATTGTAGGGTGGGCAGAAGATGCTCCTCTTGAGCAACAGCAATTAGTGCTTTTTTCTTTGTGCTTTGCAAATGTAATTCTGAACAGCACCTGAGCAGATAAGCTTTCCCCAGCCAAAAGATGAGCATCCTGCTCTCCTATCTCTGCTGGGAGGAGTATTCCTTTCTGGTTGTGCAGCTGCTGGAGGAAAATAACTGGAATAAATTGCTGAGAAGTTTGTGAGCAGCAAACGCGGCCTGCAGCGTTGGCAAAACTGCTGTGTAAATGAGGTTTTTTTTCTATTTAGAAAGAAGGTGATTTGGGATGATGTTCTCATTTATACCTTGAGAATCCCTGTGAGACAGACTCGTGTTGGAAGATGTTGGGAACTCATGCAGGCCCTGGCCTGGAGGTGGCTGTTCCTACCCTAGCTGCCATTGCAACTCTGCTTTTGGAAGGGTGCTTACCAGACTTGCTCCTGATGCATGGATGCACCGTTTGCTGTCTCTGTGTCTGCCCTGTGACTCTGCATAGAAATCTTTCCTTCGGGTGAGTCTGTGTGTGGTCCTCA